CCACCCTTCCTGCGCCCCAGGCCCTCTTGATTTTGGTGGTAAGCGTGTGTAGTGCGTCGCTCGTTGTCCTGCCTGGGCGTCCCCCAAAGTGGTGGTCTGGGAGAAGATTGTGCTTCTCGCACATCTCTACCAAGTCCTCAGTGACCAGTGCCGTGAGAACCTTGCCCATCGTGTTGAGTAAGGCAATCGGCCTCCATGCCTTGGCCAGATCATACCGGGGTTTGCCCGGCTTCTTGAGGACAATTGTGGTCCATCTCTTCCAGGCTAGTGGGTAGTGGTTCAGGCGAAAGATTGCTTCGTAAATCTTGGTCAGTATGGGGGTGAGCGTGCCACTGCATTTCATGAGGACGACGTTCGGAATTCCGTCTGGCCCGCAAACCTTGTATGGCTTGAGTCTGGCGATGACATTGCTTGTCCTATATGTTGAAGTATTGAAATTGTGCGGAACTGGCTCTGGGAACGTCTCGGGTGCGGTCGCCTGAAAGTCTCGGGGGCGTTTGGGAAAGAACATGTCAGCGAGCATGTGCCCTTTCTCCTCGTTAGAGGCAGCCTCCTTTTGCGTACCATCGGGCATACTGAACTTGAGAGAGGGGACACGCACCTTGCCTCCATCCGATCCCGGGCTGGAGATATACTTGTTGGCTATCCACAGTTCCTGAGGATCGAGGTCTTCAAGGAAGTCCTCCCAGTGTGCCGTCTTGATCTCCTCCAGGCGCCGCTTGTACTTGACGCCAAGCTGCCGTGCCTCATCGTGGACTGGTGACGCCACTCCCCGGAGTTTGTGTGATGCTCGCTTTGCCCTGGTGTGCTGCGTGCGAAGGGTTTCCAGCTCGGAGTTCCACCATCTGCGGTTGTAGGGGGCGATGCCGCTCTCCTTGATCGTGTCCTTGATGACTCCCTGCAAGAGCCCCGTGAGCGTGTCGACAGCAAGGTCGATATCCTCGGTTGTGCTGAGGTGGTTAGGAATTCCAGCACCAGGGAGGCGTGCGGTGAGTTCATCGTTGAAAGCCTTCCAGTCCGCGAGGCGAAAGTTGCGTGTGCGTCGCTCTTCAGCTAGGTCGGTGGAGAGGTCTAGTATGGAGTCTATGGGGTAGTGATCCGTGCCTGCGGGAGCTTCCCCTGGGTGCACTTCGCAGACCAGGATCCTGTCGATGAGATCCGTGGATACGAAGACGTTGTCGACTCGATACTCGTTCTTCGTTACCATATGCTCCAGCGTGGGGACTCCTGGTTCTAGTGCCATCTCCATTTCGAAGTCGGCTGCAAGGTCGACAAGCAGTTGGGCTTCTTCGCGGGCTCTGTCTGTGAAGAGGTGATGGTCGGTTGGTTTGTCCCACCATTCATGGTGCCGGTTGAAATCCCCAGCCCAGATCATTAGCGGGTTTCTGTATCGGAGTCGCAGGTCCAGAGCTGTCTGTCGGACACTGTCCAGTGCACGCGAGTGGTTGCAGTCGTTATAGATGTTGAAGATAAAGATGTCGCCAGCATTGGAGGTGAGGCGTAGGGCAGTAACGTCGCCAGTTCCAGGGATGGGTATCTGTTCGTATGCGTCAGTGCTGACCTTGCTATTGACCAGAATTAGTGATCGTGTGGGGTATAAATTATCGGCCTGCGAGTAGGGGTAGAGTGGGACCCAGTTGCGGTTAGTACGTGTTAGTTGCGCATGACAAAGATAGGGTTCTTGGATTAGCAAGATGTCGAAGTCCTCATGTAACGGGGTGTTGGAAACTGTCTGCTGGGCGATTGACGATTTGTTGAGGTTGTACTGTCGAATGCGAATACTGTTGGATGGTTCGTCAGTCATGAGGCTACGGACATGGGGGACTTCTCTTTCAGCTGGGGTGGCGGGTCCTGATCCATGGGTAGGTCCCGGCCGGGGTCTGACCAGTCAGTGCCGTCAGGTGGTGGAGGGCGGCTGCTGCGTGCAAGAGATGCTGCCACCAGAGGCTTGAAGGCCTCAGGTATCGTCGTTTGTTGCAGCCGATCCTTCTTGGTCTGTCGCCAGTCACAGTCCGCAAGGCTGTAGTTTGAAGCGCGGCCTGAATAGAAGGGTGAGCGGCGCTGGGTCCAGGGCTCCTCAGTTGGGAAGAAGGGCAGGCAGTTGCCCTCCAGCCGCTCGTCCAGTAATCTCTGGAGTTTGAGCCGGCTGGGACACGAACGCTCCCAGCTCGCATGCCCACCGATACGGCAGGCGACACAGGCGTGGGCTTCTTTTCGGTTCAGTTGCGGGCAGTCCCCTGCCTCGTCATGGTGCTGGGCGCAGGTGGCACATGTCGTGAGTGAAGCTGTGCAGGCGTTGGCGATGTGACCGTAAGTCTGGCACTTGAGGCATCGCAGTGGCTCTGTCTTGCTCTTGTGACAGCGGTAGTTGGTGTCTAGAGAGGTGAGTCCCTGTCGGAGGATAAGATTAGCATCTTTGGGCGAGGTGAAGGTAATGGTTGCATGTCCATATTGCTGGTTTTTGCCACGTCGTTCCGCTGATTTCATCCACTTGATAAGCGTGATGGCGTTGGGGGGGAGGCCGTTTTCCTTTTCAATACTTAAACGGGCTTCAACGGTATCGATTGGCTGCTCCACCGGAAGATATAGGGCCTTGATGGTGTACTTCTTTGCTTTGACAATGGCGCCAGGACTGAAGATGGCCGTAAAGTTTGCAAGGTGTTCGCCGGTGACGAGCCAGTCCTTGACCTCAGCTAAGTTGGCCTCCAGGAGCACACCTCCCTTTTCGAGCTTGGTGCAACTGATGAATGCCCATGTGGGCTTGCCCCCGACCTTATGGAGCGCCTCGGTGGCCTTCCTGGTGATACCTATGTTTCCCACCGTGTCAGGGTAGAGTCGGGTGCGCCCTATAGGTGGGTCAATGAGAATGCGTCTGCGGTCCCGTTCCAATCTGGCCTGTGTTGACGGTTGTAGGAGTGCCGGTGCCGGGGAGGGGAGTACTCCGGTGGATGCCACGCTAGCAAAAGATCTTGGGGTGCTTTCTGCTGTTGCCTTCAGATCGCCGGTGGCTACTTTCACTACATCAGTACACTTGTCAAGTTCTCGGCCTGCCTTTATAACACCCTGCCGAACCGCCGTGAGCGTTTCCTTGGTCAGCTCGGCCATTTTCTCAGTGAGGTTGCCCGAGATTTCTTTCACCGCATCCCGCAAGGTGAGTGTGGCCTGCTCCATGGACTGCCGTAATAGGAGCTCGTCCTGGACCGTGGCCAGGGCGTGAAGGAGCTCGCTGGTCCCAGTATCCTGCGAGCGTGAAGCTATTCTGAAGAGAGCGTTAGTAACAGCACGGAGATCAACTTTACCCATGAGTCCGAGCATCCCTGCGTCCCGAAGATGCTTGGTGGCCTTGCTGAGGGGCGTGTCTGGTTCTGCACGGGGTGTCGGAATTTTGGCCCGTTTCTGCGAACGGCAGGGTTGACTACGGGCAGGGGTACCGGGGGTCGTTCTTGGAGTTGCCGCCGTTGCTGGGGTGTCAGGGAGAGGCGTACCCGCGTCCTTGTCTCTATCTTTTCGTTTGGTGCCTACCAGACTGGCTGTGGAGGGCGAGAAGGGGAGTGTGCTCTGCTGTAGGGGTGCGTGTGGGGGGGGGTCACGATCTTTGAAGGGCTCCGCCCGATGAGACGCTGCCTTATTTCTTGCCTTAATCTTGTCCAGTGTCGCTTGAAAGGTGAAGTTGCTGAGGTCGGCGTTGTCGGAGTGGGTGGATTCCGCCCTGGCCCTGAGCTTGGGTGTTGGTGTTGGCTGGTCAGTGGAGGAATGGTAGGCCTCGTCGTCGTCGTCGTCGTCGTGTTCAGCCGCAGTATTGCGCGCGCCAGGGAGGGCAGTCAGTCCCGCATGAATCGATGTTTTTGCACTATCAGCTGGGTGTGTAGGAAGGAACCAGTTGCTAAAATTGAACCCGGGCTTACTCCCCGGGTTGGGGTTACTCATGTTACCTCTTATCTTCCCTTTCTTGCGGTTTTTACCTTGCAGCGTACCCGGGCTTAGGGCGGGCGCTTAATCTTGATGGTCGTGGTAAAGGAAGAGAGAGGTCCGTCGAGACGCCCTTACTATCACCCCACCTCCAGAATCATCGTCAAAGCCCGAAGTCGAAGAACACTACTGGACGCACCATCCCCTTCTGCTTAAAGTGTCGACGTCCGCTAAACAGACTGTCTCGCCGCCCTCTTCAGTTCCAGTCATCTCTTTGCCGTCGGGAGATGCGCTTCCATCCACCGGTTACGTGTTCCACACACTGATCGCGGCCTTGTATGCATTCTTTGCGTCGTCCTCGTTTGAAGAAGGGGCGATTATGTGCGTGAACATGGGTGACGACGCCGATACGGTGGGGGCGGTCTACGGCGGGTTAGCAGGATGCTGGTATGGGTGTGACAAATCAGACAGCTCGGGACTATTTTGGAGCGAGAGAGTGTGTCGATGGAACGACGCGCTGGTGAAGAAGGATCTAATAAAGGGTGTCGCAAACCAGTTAGTCGAATTTGCGGATACGGTTAAACGGAATTAATTATGGGAGGTGTGTGGTTACGGATTGGCTTGTGTATCGCTTTGAACCCCATAACTGTAATGTCGCCGATTTCCTTCTATTTGATACAGATGCATTCACCATGATACTCCATTGACGTTAAAGGCTGCGGCAATCTTCAAGTTTTCAAACGTGGTCTCAGCATCCCATAAATGTGACCTGATATCTGCTGCAGTTGAACAGCCTGTTCACATGCTACCTCTCTCTCTGAAACCGAAACTCGATGCTACGGATTTGCACTGCGCTTCCTGCCGTGAGTTGACGTTGAATAGCTGTCAAATACAACTCGTCGACTCTGGCGGATCTCGCTACAATATAAATACTAGCTATCGCCTCCACTTTCTCGATACTGACAATGCTTCTGACTCATCACTGGTGGTTTCCTCTCCTCGCCCTCACCGCGTCCATTGTTTGTATATCGGCTCACCCGTCCACTGTCTATTACGTTCATGAGAAGCGCGCCGAGTTTTTATCGCCCAAGATGCGACGCCCCCCTCAGGACCTCGCATTTCCCCTGCGAATAGGATTGAAGCAGCGCAACCTTGAAGATCTTCCTGGTCATCTTTTGGCAGTCTCCGATCCTAGCTCTCCTACCTATGGTCGTCACTGGCCCCCAGAGCGAGTGGTAGAAGCATTTTCGCCCTCGTCACACGCAGTAAACTCCGTCAAGAGGTGGCTTGTCGATTCGGGGATCCAGGAAAGTAGAATTCGATTGCGGACGAACAAGGCCTGGCTGGACGTACATAATGCTACGGTCCGCGAAGTTGAGAAGCTGCTGCGCGCAGAATATCAAGTACTCAAACGCGAGAACGGGGAAGAAACCATCGGCACGATCTCTCCTTACTCGCTTTCGTGCTTAGACATCATACTGATAGGTCTTTTCTAGGCTGTCATTCCTACCAACTTCCCGTGGATGTGGGCGAACACGTCGACTTCATTATCCCAACGGTGCAACATAGTCTCACAGTCTCCGATGCTCCACTTCAGCGCCGCGATGATAGTCGCTACAAGTCCAACATTCGGAGACAGCCTCAAGGCAGCGCAGACTTCAGGCGATGTCATGAGGCGATGACCCCGGATTGCCTGCGCGCCCTATACAACATCACATACAGACCCAAGACGCCAGCAGCGAACAACAGCTTTGCTGTCGGTGCGTTTATATTTGCACCTGTTAATCTAAACGGCTCATTTCAAAAATAGTCAACTTCCATCCAAACACATATCTCCAGTCCGATTTGGATTTGTTCTTCGAGAATTTCTCTCCGTCCCTTGTCGGATCATCACCTACATTTGTTTCTATTGACGGAGGTTAGACAGATTTCATTATCGAGGATTCCCCATTGAATTAGATTCACCTCAGGAACACTGAACGCCACAGCGGAGACAGGCGTCGGGGAAGCAGGCTAGATTCTTCAGTACGCCATGTCCCTCGCTGCGCCACAGAAAGTGACTTTCCTTAAAGTCGGTGATCAGACATTTAGTTCGTTTTCTCTATCCCCCAACACACCCACACCCGAGATAGAGTTTGACCGTTCAATCTCCCCCATTCACAGGTGGCCCATTTGGCGCAGTCTCGTTCAATGAATGGCTTGATGCTGTTGACGGATCATACTGCACTTCCGACGGAGGAGATGATCTAAACTTCGATCCCCAATTTCCTGACCCCATTCCTATTCCCGGAGCGTTCAACGACCACTCCTGTGGCAACATTCGTCCACCTAACGTTATCTCTGTCTCACGGGGCGACGAAGAGGGCCGATTAACAGAACTCTATTCTAGAAGACAGTGTAATGAATACGCCAAACTGGGTCTGATGGGCGTCACCGTTATATATGGCTCTGGGAATACAGGTACAGCGGGTGCTACTCGTGGGTATTGTATGGACGAGAACGGTGGGTCTTCGCCTATGTTGGAAGTCGCAGCGACTGAATGCACACGAAGGTACCGTCTCGCCCAACGGAACGCTGTTCAACCCCGCATGGCCAGGATCTTGCCCATGGATTACCAGCGTAAGTGCCAGCGTCTCCCCGGGGGCCCGAAGCATTACTTCGCTAACTAAGTTACGTCTCTAGGTCGGTGGAACTCAACTACGGGCTAACAGCACTGTCTTCGATCAAAATCCAGAAGAGGTAACGAGCATGGATCTCACTATGGGATTCTTTACCTCTGCTGGGGGAGGCTTCAGCAGGCGCTTTCCGACACCCGCGTATCAGAACAGAGCTGTTCAAGGATACTTGAAACAATTGACACGCACTGATCCGGGCAAATTCAAAGTCTTCAACTCTCACGGTGTATACAATCTCTATTTATCTCTGCGACAAGGCGAAGTACTGATGATATGTTTCACAGAGGGGGTATCCAGACATCAGTGTGATATCGTGAGTTTAACATCTACTAAGCACCGCAAACGCATACGCGGTACTCATTACTGTTTGAAGCAACCGCTATGTCTCTGCTGAGAGTGGCGCTCTCGTCAACTCAAGTGGAGTCTCAGGGTCATCGCCTGTGTTGGGAGCAATGATATCGCTCATTAACGATGCGCGCCTTTCAAAAGGAAAGGGCCCAGTTGGTCAGTAATCCGTCGGGGTCACTTTTCTATAACACAATGCTGACCCTCGATCAGGCTTCATCAACCCCGCCGTAAGCCTCCATTTTGCTCTGGTAGCAACAACTTCATGTTACTTGATAGCTTTATTCTTCGGGATTCACACCCGCTTTCCGCGATATAGTCGTTGGAACCAATACAGGCTGCAAAGGATGTACGTTCGACCCTTCCTCTCGTAACACTGGCGTCGCGATACTCATGTGTTATATCACAGTACAGGGCGAGTGGTTCGGCGGGTTCGCAGCGTGAGTGCCTGTTATCGCTCCAGTGTTATCTCCCTCACGGCACTTTTTCGATAGAATGCCTGGTTGGGATCCGGCATCTGGTACGTTTTCATTTTATACCATTCGGTTCCCTATCCAACGTGGAGTAGGCCTTGGGACCCCCAATTTTGACTCCCTGTTGAAGAAGTGGCTTGAGCTACCATGATACGTGGCATCGATAATGATACTACTCGATAATGATCATAACTCGCAGCAATAATTTCATGACATTCGTGTCCCTCATTTGACACGCTTTGCGGAGAACGACTTCGTCCCATGACAAGAGACCGTGACATGACATTGTGGTGGCAGTAGTATTTTCGTCCTCATTTTTGCGACGTGCTACTAATATCTCAACGTGTTCCACCAACATCTTTTCAGAGATTCTGACATGTAATCAATTGATCCAGCCAGCAGCAGTGCGTCAGGTTTCGATTCCCGATGCTCAAAATAAAAGCCTTTAGTGTCCAGCTTGCCGTAGCTACTTTGCAATCGCCCCTCAGACCTGCCTCTCGTATTTGTCTACCATGCTTCGCGATTACAAGAACTCACGCAACTCCAACACAAGCAGTCCCAAACCGGCTCGCCGCAGGCTACCTAGTCCCTCTCCACCCGGCCGCAGGCCCAGACGATTCAATTCTTCCCCGCCCCGACGCAGTCTCTCTCCACCGAGCCCCAGGTCACCAAGCCCCTTCCAAGTGTGACGTAGAGCTGTCAAGCGTGTCAGTCCCTCCTCATGGAGGTCGCCCAGCCCCTCCCCAATAGGAAGAAGGCCGCCTAGGCGACCCAGTCCCTCACCAGGACGCAGATCGCCTACCGTCTCCCCTCCAGGCCGTAGGCGATTCAGGCGATTCAACCCCTCTCCTCCCAACCGCCCACTCAGGCCCAGGCGATACAGCACAAGCCCGCAGCCCCTCAGTCTCAAATCGACGGTGCGTACTTCTTTATAGAGATGCACGGCGAATTTGTGGCTTATTGTGTACAGGAGTACTACCAGAAGGTACTTTGCTCTGCTATAAATCGTGTTTCTCAACGCCCTCACACTCATTTGCCTGATCGTGGAATTGGAATTCCATAGGTATGTATCCATAAAGTCCAACGTTAACGTCAACCTACCGTTTTCCATAGAAGGTAGGCCGGCAGCTGTCTGAGCGCGACTCAACTTGACTTACTGATACCTATCTTTTCCTTTCTCCGTTTCTTCATAGTACGCATTTTCCCTGCTACTCGCTTTCTTGAAATTTCTTCTACCTGCTATCCAGAAGCATGTCCACAGCTGTCCATTGTATTTCTACCACATAGATGACAGGGAACTCGTTTCACGAAACCAGTTGGTGGAGAGGATCACAATTCGTGTCGAGGAACGAATCAAGTTGAGGACCCGACGATAACCGAAGTATAGATGTGCTAGCTGAAGAGCAATCGGGGCGCCTAGCTGTCCGCATCCGTGCAGCTTCTGCATACGCTATTCTCTCTCATAGATGGGAAGACGAGGAACTGACATACGATGATTTACAGCACGAGGGTGATGTGGAGGTGAAGAACAACGGGACTATGTGAAGTTCAACAGGTTCCTCGAGGAGGCGGGGTGAGGCGAATACCAGTGCGTCTATGCTTGGGCTGATACCGGTTGCATCGACAAGAAGAGCAGCACCGACCTCGACGAATCCATCCGCTCGATGTACAGATGGTATCGAAACTCCCATTTCTGTATTGTCTATCTTAGTGCCAGCCGCGATGGCCGCATAGACAATGACCCTTGGTTCAAGAGGGGTTGGACGTTACAAGAATTGCTAGCGCCGAGACAGCTCAAATTCTTCTACGAAGACTGGTCAAAACTCTATTTTCATCGACAATACGACATTGTGCGACCAAGACGAGTCACTCTCGATGATACTTCTTCAGAGGTTTCTGCACGCAAAGGAAGTTACTATGATGAAGACACCGCTTCTGACGGAGAGGATGAAGAGGAGGACGAAGAAACAGTGGCTGGTAGCTCGGACCTTGATGATGACTTCGATGATTATGAAGCGGATGACACCCCTCCGCTACGCAGGAAAAATATGTCAATATCGGAGAAACTCACTCCCAACGCCCAACGTCCTTGAGAGGCTAGCTAGAATCACAAGTAAGCATCCCATTCTTTGCATTCTGCGTACGTTAAACGGATTTTCCCATATTCTAGAGATTGAATACAATTTCATGGAAGACTATGACCCTAGCCCTGCGAATGCCTGGGATGTTTTTCGATGGCTTTCCAAGAGAACCACCTCACGGCCAGAAGATCTGTCTTACTGCCTTCTTGTCTTGTTAGATATCCAGATCCCCATTGCGTATGGTGAAGGCGAAGAACGTGCGTTCTATAGGGTCCAAGTCGAGTGCTCCCATCATGTTGAAGATCGGAGCTTGTTTCTCTGGAACGGCAGTCGTTCTCGGTGGAATTCAATGTTCGCGGATGACCCTTCCGCCTTCCAAGACTCCGAGATGGAGTATCCAGGGAAGCCGTGGACGTTGTCGTCCAATTGTCTTTTCGATTCGCATCCCACGAGAACTCTAGACCCTTCGTTCAGCTTAACGAACTGCGGTCTGCGCATCATGGTGGTTCTCCATCCTGTCGAGTTCGTCCATGTTTCCACATATCCGGCGAAGCACGAGAAGCACGAGTATGTGCTCACTATCTTCAAGACGGGTGATACTAAGGTGACTTTGCGCTGGCAAGGCAAGTCCCCCGCGTCATCCAAAGTCACGGCGAGATGGAAGGTTGCGGTTGTTGGGCCAGCAAATATGCCCCCTTCGCGATCTTACGACGGGAAGGCGCATCGAAACCTCCTCGATACTTTGGACTTTCGTCCGCGGTATTTATATCGATCCCTGATCTGAAATCCCTCACTGCAAAAGCTCCGCAGACGGTCTGGATCCAATAGCAATAGCGATTGGCTTGTAACAATGTATATAAGTAGGAAATGATTGCGTTTTCGATATGCCGGTGTATTCGTATATCAAAAATTTAAATAACTGGAGTGAAATATTCAAGTCTATGGTTTCTTCGAAGCGCATGATGTGTTCGATTTACCGGCGTCATTCTGTGTGCGTATAGATTAGGTGACGATACTCACCATCATTCCTTCCCATGGAAATGCAATTCGGCCTTCAGTAGCTCAGAACCAAGGCAGTCCCCCATTTGGCTCGTACTACTCCCTAGGATTTAGATGAGGTATCGCGCAACCCCCCCTCACCATGTTGTTCATAAGAGTTTCCTGGCATTTTACGGTCCGAGCCGGGACTGATGGGACTGAACAGATGGCTTGCGAGGACCAGTAGCTCACCGGGGCCCTCGCAAGAAACCGTTCACAGTAAAGTTGCTTTGGCGTCGCAAGTGCTCCAATCTTGAAGGAATACTTAATTTAGGTTTTAGTCTTCCCACAGTCACAAGTTTGGTTCCACGGTCAATGCATCGAGTCAATAATGATTGGAACGCGCTGCATCCTGTCCAGATCCCGCCTAGCCCGACAGTACGAGGGTTCGAGATGGTCTTAGGCTCGTTACGTCCCATGCTGAGATTCATCTTTAAGATGATCATTGTACCCCACCCAGTAGGTTGCCCCCGCTGGGTTCTTTACATGCCGCTTACCACTGGGTCTAGAAGATTGTGGTAACGCCATCACATCCTGACCCGCTGTTCAGGTTTCCCGCTAGAGAGTATACTCAATGTCAGTGCGAATTTGCTATTGCGCTGCTATTTACGATGAATTCAAACATCTAGGGGCTTCACCGGCGACGGCGTCTTTGTTGACTCCATACTCGCGACGAACGACCCCACGGCGACCTTCGCCGACATCACATTCTACCGACACAGTGTCCCCTTGTCGCGGGAAAACGCAGAGGCGCGAGATCGCCTTTCCCAAGGTGCCCATATAAAGCAATGCACGAGTGATGAGCCACGAGCTAACCAAAAGCGCATTAAAGATTGAGAAGGCCTCTGGCACCTCACTTAGCGAGAGGAGTCTACGAAGGGTTAAAGGTAGAGTCAGTCGAATGATACACAGCCAGGTCAGCATGGTTTCCTACCTCTGAAAGCATGTGGGTAGGTTATTTTTTATCATCTATCTATTCATAGGACGGTGATTGCATATCGAATTTGGCCTCCGTTCCATCCATCTCCGTTTGCTATGTCAGGTGCACTGAAAGTGGTGGAATGCGTTCAGTATGCGTTTCTTATGTTGCGATCACGAACCCGGTGATTGATTTACAGCTATTGAATTCTGCGCGTCTCCATTTCCAGTCTACACCTAATATAGAGGGTTCACCATACGAAGTCGACGTGGCCACCTCTGACATGACGATAATCGGTCCTCCTCAAACCTTTGCTACCTACCTGGACGTACCTTCTCTGGTCCTGACGATGCCTACTCCCGAAATTCCTTCTCAGCCTTCCTTCAACTCCGGCGGCTACCTCGATTCCCACTATCGCTGTCAAGTTGCTGCGGAGCCTTTTCGTCCGACCTTTCTCACTGGACGAGATGCAGACAGTTCTAGGACACCTTCAGATTGCTTGGCCGACCGACTATTAGACGATGCCTCGAATAGGAACTACGACGCTGGTTCTCTGTTCCCGGAACTGGCCCCCTCTGGCTCCCCTCCGAAGCTTACTTTCATAGAGTTAACTCTCGTACATCAACAGTCGTGGGCCCGCAGGCAACTCTATCGATTCACAACCTCCTGGCGGAAATTGACTTCCCTCTTACATCTTGCGGAACCCTGACGATGATCTGTTACCCTTACCTACCTCAAATACTTCTGGAAACCCTCTTAGGGCCGGGCGAATCCCTCTACTCCCATCGGCTCCATCCTATCATCGCAGCATCGACATCGACTAGACTCTATCGGAGAGTTGGAGTACCATTGTAGTAATAGTATCGTTAATCACGCTCGTTGTTTACATGCTAGGGGTAAACGTGTTCGGAGGAACGAAGCAGTGGTAAGCTTCCCAAAGTTTGTCAAAACAACAAGTTGCATGCTATTTTGGTGTGCGCACTGCGTAGCGTCGCTACAATGAACCCCTCGTTCGGGGTGGTGTACTGCGGCTGTTTCGACGGATATGTATTTATTCTTAAACTCCCTCTCATTGCATATCCAGCAACGATCCAAGGGCGGGGAATGCAGCCGGGCTGTCCCGGGGACCCGGTATTGCGGGTAGACGCTGGTAAAGCGCGTGCGGGACGATGCGGCGCGGAGTCGCGAACGGGGATGATGATCCAAGTACCGTTCAGTCGTTCCCCTTTCATTACAAGTCAAGGCATGGAGCCCGTAACTCTGGGTGTCCTCAACTTTCGGTTTTGCTTATTAGCTTGGCCTGTGCCAGCCAACGGTTCAAATCACCCCCCATCATGCCCACTCACAGCGAAACCGCGTCCACCGCAGAATCGCAGAAACACTGGTCTTCCCGTCTCAAAACCACCGGGCTAACGATATACCACCATTTCAGAAAACATACCGGCGTCGGGATAGTTTGCGCTGTCGCATACTTTGATCCGTGGGTATTCACCCAAGCTGTCATGTCTTCTCGTAGTTTATGACAATAACTATAGGGGTAATTGGGGAGTCGATCTTCAGGCGGGATCGCAATTCGGATACAAACTCCTATTTGTCGTTTTGCTAGCGGGTTTGTTTGCTGTCTTCCTCCAGGTGAGAACAAGCGCCAATCGATTTAAGCCGAAACAGATCTGACGCCCATCGATTTAGGTATTGGCAAGTAGGCTGGGTTGTGTAACTGGTCTCGGTAAGTGGAGTCATACTAGCTACCCGCAGGGGCCTTCCACGCTGCCCACGCTCTATTCCAAGATCGCTAAAGGAGGAAGCTGGCTCTCATTGCGATTCTTTCATTATCTTGCGCGGTCTTTCAACTCAGATTCTGACACGATCGTGTGCTTTTTAGATCTTGCTTCCCATTGTCGGTTACTACTGCACGATCGACCGAAACACACGAAACTATGGCGCTGGTTGGCCCTCTACCCTTTGTACCTCCTCGCGGAGGTCGCCATTATATCTACTGATTTGGCGGAATTGCTTGGATCGGCCATTGCATTGTGCATGCTGTTCCCCGCCTTGGAGCTTTGGCATGGCGTACTTCTCACTGGATTCGATGTCTTGATCATCCTAGCAATGGGTGACCCGCTGCGTGGCAAACCCGTCAGGATGTTCGAGTTCTTGATTGCTGGCATGGTGGGTTCGATGCTTATTGTACATGCTGAATATAATATAACGGATAATAGGTTCTCGCAGTTCTGATTTGCATGGCGATTATCATTAGCAAGGTCGATGTTGACTGGGCAGAGGCTTTCCATGGTTACGTGCCTTCCAAATACATATTCCAGAGCGGTGGATTATACACATGTAAGCGTACCCACCATCCGAACGGCAGCCGCTAATTACCCCTCGGCAGCCGTTGGTATCATCGGGGCTACAGTGATGCCACACAGTCTCTTCCTAGGGTCCGCGCTGGCGACACAGGATAGGATATCGGCCCTTCCCCCCACGCAGCCGGAGGAGAAGCTCGTCAAATCTCTTTCTATGACCTCAGACGATTACGAAACCGCCACCAAGACACACACTCTCTTCCGGCGGTGGAGAAAAACCTGCCTGGAGTGGTTCACCTCGCCATTTCGCGTACCCCCAGCCGATCCCAGCGCTGCACAGGTCAAAACGCACGCGGATAGACTTAACCGTCCGCTCCCTTTTGTAACCGCTCACCTCAAGCACGGGATCTTTGACATTGTAGCAAGTTTACTTGGCTTTGCTGTCTTGATCAATTCGCTGTGAGCCGGGTTTCTTCAACGCGGTCTGGATCAACTGACATATTTCCTGATCCTAGTATATTAATCCTCGCCGCCGCCGTTTTCTTCTATGGCCACGGGGGCTCAGGCAAAGACGCCGCCAGTCTTTTTGACGCTTATGATGTTATTAGAGACTTTGTTGGCAAGCGTACGCCTCTTCCCTAGCAGTTCTTCGACATGTACTGACACTCTCTTCAGCGGCCGCGACACTGTTCGCACTAGCTCTTCTCGCTGCAGGTCAAAGTTCTTCTCTGATCGCCACCGTTGCTGGGCAGGCTGTTTCAGAAGGCTTCCTTCAATGGAGAGTCTCCGTAAGTCTCACTGCCCGCATCCTTGTCCATAGTCTTATTTACACCTCGGCGTATCGTTAGCCAATCCTTAGAAGATTTCTCACTCGGCTAATTGCCATCATCCCATCAATGGTTGTGGCTATCGCGGCAGGCCGCAAAGGCGTGGACGACCTCCTAGTGATTTCGCAAGTTGTGCTATCCATCGTTCTCCCCTTCATCACCTTCCCGCTCATATTCTTGACTTCGTCCAAGTCCATTATGTCGGTCAGACATCCGGCGGAGCGCATAGAGCCGGTAAACGATGATGGAGGAGCGGTGAGGAACGACGCGGAGGGCGGTGAGAAGACTGTGGATTTCAGCAGCGGGATAATAACGACGAGCGTGGGTGCGGCGATATGGCTAGTCGTTATGTCCGCTAACATGTATGTGATTGTGTCCTTGGCTATGGGCACGGCGACGTAGAGCTGAACTGTGGATCAAACCTCATTTGTGTTATCGTCTTTGTGTATCAGGAGCTACCCCTATCCCCTAGTGCACTTAGACTTTCGTGTTGAGACATATTCATTCTCATTCACATCACCGGGTGGCCTTTATGAGCCGGGGCTTTGTCGTTATCAGTCTGAGTCACGAAGCTAAGTGAACCTTCTGTCCACCAGTTCCTTGAGGGCCAAAGATTGTGAGTAGACAATTACGCCGACTCTACCACCTATTGTTATGTGCCCGCTCATTATAGTATGTGGCCCAACCGTGGCAAAAGAACTAGATGCTTTGTCTGCCACAATGCCTCCTGGCCACTTGCGAGGCCACTCAGGCTGACTGGACCGTATATAAGCAACGGTAAACTGGTAGATTTCTTCCATCAGTTCCACCTCTCTCAATCTTCTACGCATCTACTATGGCACTCTCGGACAACTCAGGATACTGTGAGGCTTGCTCAGTTCACACTAGAACGCTTAGAAGACTCTACGACGGGATTACCTTTACAAGTAAGTACTACGTTATTCACAGGGAGAGTTCATCTCAAGAATCAATGACTTGCCTAGTGATTTGCGAAAAGTACGTGTCACGTTCTCGACTTTACTCTCAGCTCTGACTGTGTATCATAGTTGCTTCAAAGCCAGGGGTTACCGCGTAAAGACTGGTTCTTCCCGCCAAGATCACAGGCCGATCGTTCTCGCTGATCCCGATCCCCGGTCAGTGCCAACATTTAACATTCCAATTAGCCTTGGCCTGACATTATATCATGCTGTAGATTGAGATATGGATGTTGGCACGCCCACCTTGGGTGCAGTGCTCGCACCAACCATCTGCTGGCGGTTGAGAACCATGCCAAGTCGGTGCGTAGGATATCAGAACCGATCAAAACTGGAAGCTCACGTTCTCTCGCAGTGCAAATTCACATGCGTCGTTACGTGCACCCAGTGCTGGCAGGTAGTCCCTGTGGCTGACTATGAGGACCACAAAGATGGGTCTAAGGGTGTTCTCTATATTTGATTCTGAACCTGTACCGTGACAAGTAGTTCACCTTAGTTCACTTTAACATTCCCCGACTTCTTCATACTGCATTCACGTTAGCTTCTTTCCGTTATACAATAATTCGGTCTCTCCTACGAATTTATCCATGAAACTTATGTTCTCAGATATTAACGCAACCAGAACGTGTGGAGCGTTTGACGCCTGCCCGCAGCATGGATAACGACCATGTGATGATTATTGTGGTAGTTGATATCTTCATCTAGCTTCAATTCCCTTCAGAAATCGACACACCGGCGTCAACTAATTTGATTGCTTTGGTAGGCGTCGTAGATGGACAACTTGGCGGTTTCTTTCCTGATGTAGGACTTCGCGACCGCGTCGGCCCCATTAAGAGGGACTTGATGGACCTTTCAGCGCCTCCTAGCTCGTCGACACTGCGCCGCGCGAGACAATAACGACAGCAGTTTATGCAGTCACAGTGACCCCAAAGACTTGCGAAAGACAAAACCGATAGTTTGCATTACCCACGTACTGATTAGTTGGCTTTGGTTCGGAGAGACCTTGTGTATCTGGGCAGGTTGCAGCTTCTAGAAAGACCTCGACTAATTCTAACCATGTCTCAATTCTGACACGTCTTTCACTGGAGCGCATCCTTTCTCTCTTCCTCACACTGGATTTCCATTATACCATGATATGTTTTTATCCGTACGTTCGATATCATCCACCTACGGTTCTTCTACGGTATTTTTACGAAGGATTGAACGGGCCTCGCTGAAATCTCTCTTGATCAACACTTTCTAGACACCCCTTAGTCAGTTTGGTGCGAAGTAATAGATCCATGGAATACAAATTCATCAATTTATCAAAAGATATTTCTGACAGGTACAGGGTCACGGTAATAAGACATGGAGACTGTTCTTGGAACAGCTGACGATCACATCCTGCGTGTTCGAGCTCGGCGCATACTATTTTGTTTCCTTCAGAACCCGTTACACCGGAGGATCAGCTGATCAGCTTACTTTAGTAGGTTTCGTAGCTTGCCAACTTGGCAAAGTCCTTCTTGGTGTAGAACTCTGCCACTTCGTCGGCTCCATTGGGAGGCACCTTGATGGTCCTTTCCGCTCTACTCAACTCGTCGTGGTACGTGAAGCTCGACGGGGTGGTGCAGTTCGAGGTGGCCGAATGAGGGTCAATAGTGCGCCTCCCAGAGGTGTGGAACCAGTTCGCGTGCGTCGCACGAACACCTCCCCCATTCCAGCACTTGGTTCCAGGACCGAATAAGGCAAACAGGAAGTCAGCACAGGTGCTCCCCGTGTAGCCCTGGCCTTGTTCTGCCACGGCGAAGTTGTTGAATTGGACGGAGAAGCCGAAGGCGGGAGGGAGAGCGCAGCACAGAGCACCGCCGTCAAAGCAGGAGAACCTGGCGCCACTACATTCGACAGTGCTGGCGAATGCGTCGTACTGGATATTTTCTGCGCTCGCGACAGTGGTGAGAGAGGTAATAGCGAGAAGGATTAATTTGACGTTGAAGTACATCGTTGTCGTTGGGGTTGACTTGGGGAACTCAACTAGGTTTAGTTGCTGCTCTTTCGTTATGCGATAAAGGGATCTTTATATACGCTTCAGGCCTCCCTTTGTTCAACACGAACAATACCTCTTCGTGATTCAAAAGATGAGCCCAGCGGTCTCGGTGCCTTCTAGAATAGCGCTGTCGTGGGCATGGGACTTCGTTGCAGGAATACGACCTCGAATACCCATCATCACCGACGTGGTTTCTACTTCAATCGCCACTATGCTCGACGTTGATGGTTCCGATCTCAGAGACGTACCGCAACTATTTTAGCGAGCGAATGGGTGAAATGCTGGGGAAACGCACCCATCAAAGAGAAGGAGCGGTCTCCTACTCAAAGGCGGTAACCGTGATGTGGGATGCTTATACTGCACCCTCAATGCATTAATAGAACTAGTGTCTTCATGTAAACGGTCAGAATCATGCAGACATTATTTTCTCGAAAGTTCGCTAGCGGGCTCAGGTATTATCTTCTCTTCTAATATCATCTCGACATTGGAGTTGATGCACAGCCTAGACATTGATTGAGCTGGTTCCGACTTCTGCCCGAAAGAAGCCTTCGGCAACGCAACGGAATGGGGGGTCGAAAGGGGAAGGTGAACTTGGAGGCAGACACACCTTCCTCAGACAGCCTAATGGGCGACTGGGTGAAGAAAACATGTCGAGGTCCAACATAAGAAGGGAAACATACCATCAGACGATCAGGAAGCGGCCGCCGCAAGCTGTCATATGACAGTGCAGCACCAGTGCTCATCCGCGCGGAAGAATTAATATTCGTATCTGGTTCGATAGAATCAGTTCTTTAGCTTCGAACCAGGTAACGTATAGATAGATGGCCGAGTGTATGCCAGGTCAAACTCGCAGGGTTCGAAATCCTCCAGTCGAATGCTGTAAGGAGCAGAGAAGTGCGATACTGTCGTCGGGTAGTCTGGGAAGTTTGGATATCGTGCCAGAGTCCGTGCCAGAAGTTACCATTTTAGCAGCGGCCCGGTACAAGAAACACCCATACTGTTGCAAAGTTCGTTCTCTGACGGGGACAGGTTCCAGCAGTAAAAAACCGATTGATACTTATTCAACCGTTCCCGCAGATTCCAGCCTTAGTCACTGTGTTTGGCCGTTGACATCGGTGAGTATCACAACGCACCATTGTCGTACTAGACACCTGATAAGATTTGCGACCGTAGAAGGTAGCTGGAATGCCAGTGAGTTGTAGTAGTCAACTAGGCGACCACTACCCTTTCTTCGAGATTAATCGGTATTTCATCTGGGGTAGGTTTGAGGAATACAAAAATATTCGGTTGGGCTGTGCTTTGAGGGTCGTGAATTTGACGCACCAAGTTGCAAAGTCTGGATGTCTACTCGCAAGCTAGCCAGCATTTTGAGATATGAACGTTTAACGTTTAACGCTCAACGTTGAGGTCGTTGTAACTACGACGTAGCGTGAAGAGTGCTATTGTACTCATCATAAACAAGCACTATAAGTGGTGGGCGATTGATTCTATTGATCGTGAGAATATATTGCTGATCGTGAGAAGTTTCGAGACTTACCTTCAGACTTGTAGTGCTTGCGCTTCGTCCTCTCTGATTCTTACCTCCAGACGACGTTACTCTACTGCGATCGCTACAATACCACCTCCTTTTTCTCAATGGCCTTACTCTCGCCGGGTACAATGGCAAATGCTCCTGTGCCTCACCCGACCCTATCCTGGTGTCTCGGTGGCTCTTGGTGCGTCTAGCCGTTCGTTTATTTACACCTCCCGTCTCGCTCGGCAAGCTCATTCATAGAACGAACGAACAGCTCGGGACTTCGACTCCCTTAGGCTATATAAAACAGCCAATCGTGCCGGTACGGCGACAAAGTGTACCCTCGCAGTGACCATATGACGAGGTCAGACTGTCTAAATGTGGAGCACAAGGGCCTTCATCGTAAATGCAAGTGAAAGGCCGACTCCAATACGGACATCCATGACCTACGCCGTGCCCTCTAGATCAAGCTGCTATTAATACTTTGTACTCGAACTCATTCGGTGTATATGGCTGGTGCTGGCCTCTTCTCTTTCTCCTCCAAGCCCATCGCCCCGGCGTATCAATCAGCTGAACCTCGGCTTTCACGGCTAATTCTCCCATGTCCAAGTTATTTTTGCTCTCCCAGAGCGAAACGGCCAATTGGCTTAGGTAATCGCGGAGGTCTTTGTCACTCGAGCTCGCACCTGGATAGTGGCCCATGACCCCATTTTGTATCCAACGTTCATGCTGACCTGCACAAGGCGGCGATGAAAAGCCTTGCTCAGCGTTGCCCCAATCCGAACATTCCAGCGCGACGAACGGACATGCCTATTATGAGCGGCGGTGGAGGACGTATAAATACGAGCACACCTACCCGCTCTTCTTCATCCGAAGTTTCTACACCAGAAAACGAAGATGCAGTTCTCCTTCAACTTCCTCGCACTTGCACTTGCTGTCCTCCCCTCAGCCCTCGCGGCTCCAGCTCAAGTTTCTTGGCGCATCCACCCCGCAGTCAACACGAACAAATGTCTCAATCTGCGCGGCAACGTTCGTGCGAACGGAACCGCTGTCGATATGTAAGTTGTTGTATTGCTGGTCTTTGATTTGCTCGATCCGTGCTCACATACGCCTACATAGCTTCGACTGCAACTTGACCACCGCTCAGAACTGGGTCATTGCCCCCGGATCTACGAAGGTCCAGTTGGAAGGGACGAACTTTTGCCTTGACGCAGGTTCCAGTATGCAAACCATCTCTTCTCTATCCGTTCCCACATCTAACGTCAACTTCAAGCCCCCGCGAACGGCATAGGCATGAAGATTTGGCAATGCTTCGACGATCTCCCTGCTCAGCAGTGGTTCCTCACCGACGATGATCGTATCGCCCTGGAGAATCAAGGTATGCCACGCTCCACGAGTCAACAACTAGTTAACTGTTTACTGACCTGTGGCTAGGTTTCTGTCTCGATCTCACGGAAGGCAGTGTCGTCAACGGAAACCAAGTCCAGATTTGGCGATGCACCGACAATGATATTAACCAAGCCTGGGTCCGTTGAGTTGCTTACAGCACATTGCTCTTCGAACCTGTTGGACTTGCTTCAATGTACATAGCTATTGAACTGTGTATGGACGTAACGAATTGATGTATGTCTTACTACGCTCTATAATACTGTCTGCCACAATATGTTCGCAAAATTGAGGATTAAGTTCGTTATGGTCTGTAGGTGACCTAAATAGGGATTCGACGCCCTTGCGACGGTAGTGACATTTTGGAGGTAATTGCTCAGAGTTTGAGGCGCTGCCAAGCCATTTTTATCCATAAAATTAAGAGAATAATCATGCGACTTCGTCCGGGCTGTGGTCAGGCGGAGGTCTGAACTGAGACGTAACTGACTGTGGGATTATCACTATGACTGTGAGACTACGCTCTTTTTACTATTCACTACAAACCACTCCGACAGTCTCGGATGATTCACCTCGGTACCATGTCTTTAGAATCGATGTTCCTGCTTGGTTTTTGCTGCATCTCGCCATTTCGACACATAGACATACCTAGAGTCTTATACTCTACTAGGCAACGTTGTGTCGAAGACCCTTCCTTCATACCCAACGCAATCGCTGGGGAACATCTCTCGAATGCCGTAGTACCTCGATGGCTCTTGGATCCATTCGGATGTGTGCACTCGCTCCGGAGTCGTCGACGAAATCTGTTATGACTCGAGGCTCAGCACAGCACTTAGCACTCGAGTCCGGATACATGGAGAATGTTCTACGGCGATCATATGGCGAGGAAGAGCTATTCTAACACTCGCACAAGTGTCTGCGGCTCCCGCACCGACAACTACGGACAACTACGGCAACCTTGCACCGTCATAACGGCCTACGTCGTCTCGGAGTCAAGCCATATTGCTTCGCCGAAGTCAATTCGGGTATACCTGCGAAACACTAACACTTCTTCCTCGTCTATTTTCCTTTGACTTAGTCATCCACGGGGTATTGACAAATTGGCCCTCGGCTTCGACGGCTGATTCTCCCATACGTTGGTTATTTTTGGTCTATCAGTGCTCTGAATCGCCGTCTTGCTCAGAGAGTCGCGGAAGCACTTGTCGGTCCAGCTTGTATCTGGATGAATGCCTACGATATTATTATCTACCCGACGTGCACAGTGCCCCGTCTGAAGTAAAGGACGGCGATGAAAAGCCTTGTCCGGCCCTCACTCAACTCACAATTACAGCGCGACAAACGGACGCCAATGGGATGAGAGGTTGGCTGAACGTATAAATACGGTCGTGGTCACTCGTCATTCTTCATCCGACGTTTCTACTCTAGAAAACGAAGATGCAGTTCTCCTCCAAGTTCCTCGCACTCGCACTCGCCGTCCTTCCCTCAGCCCTCGCGGACAGGACTTTCGTCATCAATAATGCCTGCCCTAGCGACGTCCCGCTCTTCATCAATGCTCAATCCCAAGGTATCATCCCTCATGGGACGAATGTCACCAAAACCCTACCGAGCGACTTTTCGGGACTGATCTACAGCACGGCTAACGGTGGAAGCGGTACCGGGAGACTGGTCACTAGCGCAGGCTTTCACTTGGACGTATGTACCTCGATGCCCATCATGCCGGCGTCGCTCACGGAGTGCTCATAGAACGGATACTACTATATCGTCAAGGATGACACCCACTTCAATATGGGCGTCGAAGTTTCCCCTCACGCTGCAACAGTGAGTGGCTCTGATATTTACGACGCTCAAATACTTAACTTGCACCGTTCAGTCCAACGGCTTTTGCCCCCAGCTGTCTTGTGCTGACGCTGATTGCACTGGAGTTTTCCCTCTGACGCAGCAGCCTCAAAGCTTCCCAGCTCCGGGGAACTCGCCCCCCACTTCTCCGTTGTTCGAGTGCCCTGGTGCAAACATCGGGTTCACAGTAACGTACGTATATGAATTCGTGGATATGCTGAGATACATATCGACGTTGTGCCGCATAGGTTCTGCCCGACACAGTCATTCCCGTCTGATGCCCATTCTATCCACCCCATCGCCAACCGGAACAAGTGTCTCGACGTGCGGGGCAATGTTCAAGCCAATGGAACCCCTGTTCAGATGTGAGCCCCTGATACTCTGGTATCTTGAGCTCTGCTCACACAGACCTACAACGATAGTTATGACTGCAATGGATCTGCTGCCCAGAGTTGGCTTATCAGCCCTGGATCTACGAAGGTCCAATTAGCCGACACAACCTTCTGTCTCGATGCAAGCCCTAGTAAATCGATCATCTTCCCTCCATATTGTGATGCTAATCTGTATTCAAGCCCCCGAAAACGGTGTCGGTATGAAGATTTGGGAATGTTTCGACAATCTCCCCGCGCAACAGTGGTTCCTCACTGATGATAACCGTATTGCCCTCGAAAACCAAGGTACCTTCTAGACGTTTTACGGAGATCTACGGTCAATTGACCTTGTTATCCCTAGGGTTCTGTCTTGACCTGACGGGAGGGATCCTCACCAACGGCAACCAGGTCCAGACTTGGCAATGTACCGACAACGATAACAATCAAGCCTGGGTTCTTTGAGTTACGCCTCCATAGTGGCTTGCTTGTTTGAACTCCCAAGTGAGAGCCATTGGATTTCTTTACTGTATATATGTAGAATCCCCCGGACTATCTAATTAATGTCGTATGGTGTATCTGACTTCGATCCTCGGGTGCAACGACTCGGTGGCGTCTGCTGGTGTGCGGTACCGAAGCTGTCTCAGATTTATTCTTGAACTTCATGAAATTGTCGTGTTTTGCTGTTGTGACTGTATCTCTTTCGACATGGGTGTGCCAGGACTATGGGACGTGAGTTTACAGCGACTTTGCTTATGGGACTTGAATTTTCCAACTCAAATTCGTATAGATACTCCGACCCGCGAGCAAGGTGAGATCCCTCACCGAAGTCGCGGTTGTCGAAGGTTTCGAATCCAATGCCAACGGCATGCGTGGTTTTCGCGTCGGAATTGATGCTAGCATCTGGTTTTTTCACGCGAATTATGGCAAGGAGGGCGAGAATCCCGAGCTCAGAACACTCTTCTTCCGGTGTGCCACACTACTGCGGTCGCCGTTTCTCCCGTTATTCGTCTTCGATGGTCCCGAACGTCTGGGATTCAAGCGGAATATCATATGAGGATTCATTGCACATCGTTTTGTGGGATCGTAGGGATGGAATGGTTAGAAGGACCGCAAGTGCCTAGAAATGAGTGCATCACAACTGAGTCGAAGCATTGTTAGAGCGAAGACCGGGCCTTCCAAAGAGACAGATACAGACCTATATACAAGAAGTACGGTCTGTATATATGCATCTACCTAATAAATCAGTTGCTCGTAAGTTGGCGGACGTATTCAATCAAAGCCCTAAAATCATATCAGCTACGCGATCTCAGCGAGACAAACAGAAGCCAACGAACCGAACGGGCCGTCCCGTCATTCCCTTCGATCCGTATGCCGTCTCCCTCGTAGCCTGGTCAACAATGTAAGATGCAAATCACAGATGAGTTAGGATCACATTCTGCCTACATCCATGGTCCCGGCGATGTCGATATGCGCCCACTTCAATGGCGCGCTACCGTCTTTGGGTTCTAGGCCATCGACAAACGCCTTCAAGAAGAGCGCGGCCGTGATACTTCCTGCCGGGCGTCCGCCAGTCTACAAGTGCAAACGAACATTCGCCGGTATCAGGACGGAGAATGGGAAAGGCGCACGTTTTGGAGGTCGGCGTTGGATGAATAGATCTGTGGACCGTAGTCTTCGTCGAGCGGCATACGCCAGAAGCGATCATACTCAGTTTCGCCGGCAGCGTGTAGTTTCTGCCACAGCTCGTCGGATGTCTGCAAGGAACATCAGCAAGCGAGTTCAGGGTTGCGATGCGAAGGCGTGCTTACTGAGAAAACACCCGAGTATACTTCGCCTAGAGCGATCATCATGGCGCTGGGCGCACCATCAAGTAAATTCACCGTGTTTTTGGTCAACTTGTGGAACGTACCCAGTAAGGGTGGCGACATCAATAAGCGTGTGAGGTTTGTACTCTGAGGATACGTAGTAGATAGCATCCTGGAGACCAAAGGAATCAACGAGTTGCTAGTCAAACAACTGGAAGGACGTACGGATAGAACAAGTCGGCCTTCCGCGTCGGTGTTGTCGACTTCGACGGTTTTCCCGTTCATGGCGTAGATGCTGCGTAAACTTTAGTTTCGAAAAGTCGAGTTATTTGTCGAGACACGTACATGTCTCCAGGCTTCGTAGCGCTGGGGCCGGGCATGTTTTCTAATTCAGCGCGTCAATGGGATCAATTCAGCGAGTCTGAGGAACCTGGCATACCAGTCAAGGGCGTGACGGTAATCAGGTTGACCCTATATTCTCATGAGCCCATGATTCACCAAAGGGAGACTCTGCCTACGGAAGTTGGAGCTTAGCAATTGCAAGCGTTGCAGAGACGACGGTGGCGGCACCACCCATGTCAGCCCGCATCTCTTTCATTCCCTGCACCGAAGCAGGTCAATCTCGCGTCAAAGAGCAAGCCCAGGAGTGACTTACAGCACCAGGTTTCAAGCTGATTCCTCCGGAATCGAAGGTGATGCCCTTGCCAACGAAGGCAAGAGGCTGCGCATCGTCTCCTGCGCCATTGTAATGACTGCGAATAGATTAGTCGGCTGCGGAACCAGAGATAGCGTTGAGAATCCCACATTTCAAGGAACTTTGCGGGTTCTGAGGTACCGTGGGTGACGGAAAGGAATGTTCGCTGTGTGGGCGTGAGTCGGAAGCCCCACGAACAACTGATTTAAGCATACCATCCCCTTCTTCTCGGCCCAAGCTGATGAAGTTGTGTGAGCTGCACGATTAGGAGCAAAACATTCGCGCGAACGTACCTTCGTCGCGGACGTATATTTGGACGTTAGGAATGCCCTCGAACTGGCTCTTCACGCGTTCACAGAATGCCTGTTCAGCGAGAAGCATTAATGGACAGTAGACACAATATGTATCGGATACGCACGGTTGGAGTTATCATGTTGGCCGGCAATTCCATCAACTAAACGGAGACTTTGGGATCGAGTGCAGATGGGTGGGAACGAAACATACTGTGCGCGCAAGATTCTGTGCCTTCGCGTACTCGACGCCCCGGTCCCATTCCTCCGACGCCTGATGAGGGCTGAAGGACAACTTCTCGGGTATTGGTTCTGTCAAGTTGGGGTTGAACCGCGACGGGGGGGAAGTCTTGAGAGTAAACTGATACTGCGCGAGATGAGCAGCCACAGCTAATACTCTGGCTTTAACCTCAACCCATGACCAAGAAAATGAAGCACATACCAGCAGCATGGGCATCCAAGGACGCATCGACGGTAACCTCCTTGACTCCCTCCAATTCACGGATGGACTTGACTGCCTTTCCGACCGATTTCCTGACAAGTTCCCTCCGTTCGTCCCCCTTCTTTGAAGCAAACCCTTCGCCGAGGGACGACAGAGCGGTCACTTTTGTCGCGGGGGTGTCGTAGAAGACGCGCGCGGTGCCGACCTTTGGCACTTTGTCGCCATGGGGGACAGTGGACCAAAGCTTCGCTGCATCGACGTCGGGTACGGCTGTCTGTGAAGCGGCCTGGGGGTCAAACGGGATAGCGTACGCTGCAGCAGACATATTACGATGGCGAATGAGATAAGAAGGGGCCCTTGAGAGGAAAGATGCTCTAGATAACATATTCCGGACCTCTACAGCTTGGCATGTGCACCGGACAAGTCGTGATTTGGGGGTCACAAGGAGAGAATTTCGCCTCGAACCAAATCGAGTCTTCTTTTTCACAGAGGAGCCCCCTTTCTTTCTGAAAACCCCACCTCAGTGCATGGAGGGGGGAGGGAGAGGGCAAATATCGACTAGGACACGCGTGCGCAAAGTAATAGCGCATCGTGGGCCACACAAAGTCTGATACATATATCGACTCTTGCATGATCACCGGTGGGTAGGCTTGAGCTTGAGGCCTTGAGGTCCGGATGAGCCTCATAGAACTCAGTCTCGCAGAGCGTTCGCACCAGCAAGAGCCATATAAAAAAACCATACATTATTTGCTATAGGTTGCATATTATGTTAAATCGATAATATCTGATGAGATTGACTTCGTCGCGCCCTTCTTCTCCTTCGCCGCTCGACTCTGGGCTTTCAGAGCGGCCTTCTGCGCCCGAGCCCTCGCTGCTAGCAACGGAGGAACTTTCTCCAGGTCCACGGGAGGTTCATCATCGCTAGATATCTCCAGAATCTCAATAGCGCGATGATGGGACTTCGGAAGCGAAGGTATGGCCGTCCTCCACGACTCTGAAGCTGTCGAGGACGTTTTTGATACTTGAGACGATAGCATAGGTGAGGGAGAGCTAGGTCGCTCTCTTGCCTTGTCTAAGGCGCGTTTCGGGGTTCTACTTCTGGAATGAGGGGACGTGTGTTTCACTGATTTTCGGGGAGACTTGCGAACGTTGGGCCCCGGATCTGATTCATCGGAATCCGAGATGGTCACAATCTTCCTTCTAGAGGACGATGCCGCTGGATGGGTATGGGAGGACAGGGCCTTGCTGGGTATAGAGAAACCGGGTATCTGGTCCAAGGGAAAGGGGGTTGGGGTAGGCATCGGACTTGGTGGAGAAATAAGGGGGGATTTGAGCGTCCTGGTAGCTGAGGACGTCGCCCGAGGAACCTTCGCCTTTGAAGGAGTAATATCAAATTTCGGAGGGGGCTGGTTGGAGTCGTCTGGTTCGTCCTCACTGTCAGAAAGGAAAAGTGATTTCGCAGACATCATGGTAGGCTGCGATCGGCTTTGAGATGACGATGTAGTAGCTGAACGGCGAGGGTTCGACGTGGTGGCGTGACGGGTACGCGAAGTCAAATCCACAACCTTAGTCGGCAAGGAATCGGGAGAACGTTGAGAGGTAGAGCTATTCCTCATTGGGGCCTCTTTGACCTTGTCTTGAGAACTAGTCCCCAATTTTTGCGTCGTAAAGAAGGATTTAAGTCCCAAATCTAGCTGGGCACTAGAGGTTGACATCGAAGCCGTAGCAGGCGCGATGGAGCGTTTCAGCGGAGGAGCGTGGATAGGGAGGGCATCGTCACTGCTTTCTTCTTCCTCTTCTCGCAGATTCGCCAATCGCAAGTGTATATCATCTTCCTCTTCCTCCTCGTCAGCCACCGGCACCTTCTTGCGGCGTGAAGCGGCAGGAGTAGACTTAGCCTTGGTAGTCGCCTTGGTCTTTGTTCCCGATGCCGCTTTCGAGGCGCTGGTCGTCTTCCTCCCTTTATTCGCCTTCTTCTCGACCTTCTTCCTCTCAGCTTCCTCGTAGGCTTCGACGACTTCAGGTTCAGCCAGAGATACGATGGAAGCAGGCATCCATACACGGATGTGTGAATCGGGAGGTGGAGGCAGTTTCTTAGGCCCTTTCCTCTTGCCACCCTCTTCGTCGTCCTCGTCGTCCTCGTCGCCGGGATCCTCCGATGCCCATTCATCTGCATCATCCGGGCGCCGTATGCCCTTGACGCCCGCTTCAGTGAGACGAACTAGGTGAGCGGGTGCAACCTCTAGACGATATTCCAGGATCTTGTCGGTAGAAGCGTGCCGTCGCTGGGAATGGATCTTTACCACCAGATTCGAGGCATCGTCGTCATCCGCAAGCTTCAGCGAGGAGAAGTGTTTCGTTATCATCTTCGACGGCGTGCCCATAGGAGAGCTGACGGAAGTGTCAGGCCTTTGTTTCCTAGGCGTTGAAGGTACATCAGCAGTAAACCTAGAAGACCTTGTCTTCTCTTCTTCAGCGACTAAGACAGCCCGCCTTAGGATCCGCAGCGTAACGCTTGGCCATATCACAGTCCTGAACCTCTTCACAATAGCCTCTTTATATCCCCACTCGAAATAGAACTCACAAGTCTCCGCCAGCTTGCCCAAGTCCGGATCCTTGTCCCACCTCGGCCTGTTCATCTCAATCGTCCGGCCCATCGACTCGGACGTGATCGGATTAACATACGAGTCCAGCACCTCTAGATTAGGAAAGTCGTTGGGAATAGACTTCGAAAGTGCGACGAATTTCTTCCCGAGGTACCCCTGAGAGTTAGTGCGTAGTTCGTGTCGCAGTTCGTTGCGCCAGTTGTCGAGGAAGTGGATGAGGTCTTGCTGTGAGAGCTTCTGTGCGGCCTGGTAGAGCGATTCACCGAACCCAGCTCTGGCCAGCCCATGGGCGATGATAGGGCCGCAACGCGAGACACCAGCCTGATGGTAGTCCCCTCCTCGCATAAGACCAATAAGTATGAATCCACCGCGGTCAATGCCGATGGATGGGTGTGACTTGATATCGCTGAGGAGGTAGACAGCAGAGTGATTCTTGTCATCTCGACCGTCGGAATTGAGAACAGGATTGGATTTGTTGCCTGAAAGCGTGTTGCTCGAACTGACAGAAGTAAGTTGACGGGAAGTGACACGCCGCGATTATGTGGCTCACTTGCGGATGACCATGGTTGCACCAAAGAGGAACGTATCGACGTCGTCAGAGAGAATTGCGTCAATAACGCCCACGCGATTCAGATACGCAAGCTCTGCTTCCGCTTCGCCAGGTGCCTTCATGGATTCAGACGGTCTAATTGTCGGTTCCCAGCATTGAACTCACCGTACGCCACTCAAACCCAAACGCCTCGATAATAGCCTTCATACCCGTCGTCAGCTTGTGGCTCGACGTGTTGATTCTTTTGCCCCGCTTGAATCCCGGGCGTTTGGGCCCATCGAAGACGAATAATGGGAGAAACGGCGACCGCAGCAGAGTGGCACACCGGAAGAAGAGTGTTCTGAGCTCGGGATTCTCGCCCTCCTTGCCATAATTCGCGTGAAAAAACCAGATGCTAGCATCAATTCCGACGCGAAAACCACGCATGCCGTTGGCATTGGATTCGAAACCTTCGACAACCGCGACTTCGGTGAGGGATCTCACCTTGCTCGCGGGTCGGAGTATCTATAGGGTTCGAGTTAGAAAATCAAGTCCCATAAGCAACTTCGCTGCATAACTCACGTCCCATAGTCCTGGCACACCCATGTCGAGTCACAACAGCGGAACGCGACAATTTCATGAAGTTATCTGAGACTCGCCCAGTCACGTGTAATGCGAACTTAGTCATGTGCACTGGACAGCTTCGGCACCGCACGCCAGCGCGCGCTGGCACTGTACGTGTGCAGACTCGCTGAACGTCGAGCTCACGCTTCACCTCTCTAACATGAAGACAAGGGTTGGAGTTTGCCTGTTTGCTATCTCATTGATTAGCTATCCGACTTATTGCATTTGATTAGGGCACTGAAACTCAGGCTTACAATCCACCATATGGGTTGTGGTCATCACGAAACAGCCAAGTTTGTACACCCGGCTTGAGGGGACACAGCCCATCTTGCACGCAGCCCGGCAGCCAATTGCTATGCGCTGACATGGTTATTGGCTATCTCCTCATGGGTCATAGCAAAACCCTGCTATGACAACCACGGGGATATCCCAAACGCTTAAATACCATCTCCTTCAATGGATTCGAGCCCCCACTTTCAGGCTCTGGTAGCTTTGAAGACCGTCTACTACTCTTCATACGTGAGCTCAACCCATAATTATTCCCCACTGCCGAATTACTGACTTCTATTGTGTCCTTGGAACAGCCTGCTCGTATTTCTGGTCCTTGCTGGTCAAGGACAGATCTCACCCCGTCAGTTAACGAAGCACTTTACGAACCCTTTACGAGTAAAACATCGCTATTATGTCCACGACTTCCATCCTCCGCGCCTCCCACCGAGCCTCTCTTAAACCCGTTAATTCCAAGAAGTCTATCCTCAAACGTTCGGCATCTATAGCACTCTCCCCTCTGCTCCTAGCGCTCCCATTCACGTCCTCACCGACCATTAACTCTCCTTCGTCGCCGTTCCAGTCTTCCCCAAGGTCACCACATGTCCACTTCCCTCCAACTCCTTCCCTAGCGTCCACGTTCATCACACACTCCGCATCGACATACGATCGCACTCCCGTGGACCTACCCCCAAATCCGCTGGAGTTCCCTCCTCGAGGCCGCAGGGCGTACGACTCCTCTTTCGCAGACAGCCTGAGCCAAGGCATTGTGCCCGTGGATATTCCAGCTGCAGCCTTCGACCCGCCCATGTCAGATTCCGACGTGCCGCTCTCTGCCTCTATAATGTCACCTCCACCCGTCTTCCATCGATTTATTCGATTCGCGACACTACCGCCCCACTCGCCCCTGCCGAATCTGCAGAGCCAGACTAGTGCCGAAATTGACTATGGCCATTCAGTTGGGTCGCCTTATCCTCGCTCGCCCTATCCTGCTGCACCATCGCCTCCCCTGACTCCCACAGAGGCCGATACTGATGAAGGCTCGCACGTCAATGACGCGAAGCCTGTTATGAAGAAGAAACCTCGCAGGATTGTGGCTTGGAAAGGACATGGGGAGCTCAGGATATCTGACCTGCTCGCGTCACCCAGCATTTCCTCTCCCCTTCGCCAGACATACATGACGCCGGGTGCGGAGGCACCGCCCACGAAGACATCATCGGGCCTCAAATCCCCCGCCGGCACGAAGCCTCAGCCATTGGACCTCAACCCAAGTCCTGGTTCAGACAGCGATGGCTCGAATCCGAGCTCCCAACTAAGCAAGGCGTTCTGGCGTTCAGTCTCCCTCGTCGACGTGTCTGATGAAGCTGCTTGCGTCAGTGCGTGTGCATACCCTCCATCGGCCGTTGGCATCCAGGAGTTCCTTGCCGAAGATATCGATAGCCCAGTGACAAATGCGACGCAAACGGGACATACCCCGGGACTACTTTCTCTGCTGAGTCCCGTTCCGCTGTCAGCAGCCCCACTATCTGCTGTCCCTGACCTAGTCATGGGACGCAAGCCTGAGATGCTCTGGTCACCCGGTCTTCCTCGCAAAAGGCCCTCGCTCAAGCTGAAACTACCTGAAGCAGCACCCGCTGAAACAGGCATCGCCTTGCACGACGCCTACGAGGATCAGGGCGAGGATCAAGAGGATGAAACGTCCATAAAATACGATTACATGGGCAACGCGGACGATGCGGATATGGTTGATTTAACATCAATCTTAAGCCCTGACGCCCGAAAGGAAGCTGGGTTCCTTTTGAATCCTCCGCCGAGATCCACTGTTGCAGCACCTTCTCCCAACGACCCATTTGCCGCGTTCCCATCATTTTCAGCCGTTCTCGAGCTACATGGAGGTGTTGAGGGTACTCGCGATACAGGCGACTTTGAGGGAGGAGGGCATGATAGGCGAGGTCAGCAGGATGTGGAGCTTGATTAAGTAGGGCTAGGTGGACGGGTGCTACAATCACTTCGTGATCATGAATCCTACAAGACGCCCGTTTGATGTTGAATGAGGTAGTTATCTTACCGTTTTAATTCTTTGAGACGCCTGTTCTCTACGCATGTCTACTTTCTTCATTCACATACAATTTTCACCCATAACGCATTTATTTCATCTTGTATTATATTTTACATTTGTTTATTCATTTATTCATGACGCTGATTTCATCATCTTGTTTCCGCCAAAGCTAGTAGGGTACTGGTGTTCGTTTCGCTAGATGGCTGACACGACGGACACAGATATCCCGTTTCCTTAGCTCCACCTAGCGCCTGGTAAGCGCGATCACTCCCGAGTACCCCATTCAAGCAAACAACCTCAGGAATCCCTAGGTATGTACGATCGTGGTGAGAGAGCGTACTTATCTCACGTTTATCTCCCCCGAATCAGCGTTCCCGCTCCAACATCCATGGGAGTCACTGTCCTCACTGTATGCGATAGCAGGCACAACAGGTGTATCATTGATCCTGAACTCCACTCTTCGAGGCTGTTCTGCAACTAGATGATGCTCCTACTTGTACTACCGGCTGTAGGCCGCTGTTGGGCTGCTGCTGCGCGTGTACGCTCCACCTTTTTCCCCATACATACGCAATAGCTGTTTCCTCTCCCTCCGACCACCTCCTGCAAGTCCGCCAAGGTGGGCTTAGACCGTTCAGTGGGCACGATGCATGGTGATCGACGTGATCGGCCCAGCCATTCCGTCGATTCGGGTAAAAAGGGGCTGTGTCGCTGACAGATTGCTTTTATATCGCCTAGCAGTCTTGTTGTTTTTGTTTGTGCCACACGCTTTTGTGTTCCCTCACTTTCCCATCTTGCTGGACAAGCGAAGTTGGCCAGCTGCTCATACATTTGAGTAGCCTGCCGACTCAGACATACCAGGACGCCCCGTGTCTACTACATACCCCTCAATCGGCTGACGAGCTAATACGGTGCTGGCCGTTGCAATGTGTTCCCGACCCATACTCAAACACTTTCCTCAGCTCGAACCCACCCACCCCATCCCTGCCACTAGTCCCCTCGCCGCATCATATACCCCCTCTCCCTCTGCTCTCCCAACAAGAACATCTTCATCTTCATCCTTATCCGCTGCTATACCACCGTCACCGACGCTCGGTGTCTTCCCCTTTGCCTCCTGCTCATCCACTAATCTTCTTTACTCCCCTCATGTCCATTTCCCACCTACGCCTCGCTTGATCTCATCCACTCATCTTGCTCATTCACCCACGACATACGATAGAGCGCCCATTGTTGTGCAGCCGAATAGCTGTTCACTCCCAGAACGCGGAGGGAGGATGTGCTACACACCGCATTCCACGCGGCGCCGATCATCCGCACCGAAGGGTAGCTACTTTCACCCAACGGCATACGAAGCCTGTGAGCGCGAGGATGAGAACCATGACGACGACGATGACCCCAGTGCTGTGATATCGGCCTTAGAAACCCCGGAGTTGACATCCGATTCCTCGACCCCTTCCTCCGACTCGGATTATTCAGATGGATGGTCATCTCCGCCGGAGGAATTACAGTCACCCTTGGTCGCAATCGCATCTGCTTCGTCGAGCTCGTTATCTTATCTTTCTGGGCCTGCCATGTCCCTCATCCACGCTCAATCGTCTCTGGGTGAATATCCAACGGACATGCGTGTGAAGTTAACTCCTCCCGCACCGCGTTCTGCAATGAAGCTGGAAGGCGGAAGACAAGCGGATAAGAAGCCGAGGAAGAGAGCGAAAGTGGCAGGCTCTTTGCGGATTGGGGTGACTTTTTCGGATGACTCGTCACTGGATGGCTGTCTTGGAGGATTCTAGGTGGACTGACAATTGTGACGGTAGCTGAGTGAGCAAGCACCGGTGTAATCAGTATTGCGAGAGCGAATGTAGGTTGTGACCTGAAATGGAACGTCATCTTGGGTAGATGGTTAGGTACCAGTTTGACTTGAAATGCACATATGAACGTATGTCGATAAATTGAGTATGTTCTTCTGCGTTGTCGCTGCTTCTAGTTAAAAACATCGCGTCCGCTTCCCCAACTAAAGAACAGTCTGACGTTGGTTTACCAGCGTGGTTGAGGATCTAGCAATCCTGTTGGGTCAGATCGCCAAAGTACCACCCAATCACCTCTCGCCAGGCGTCCGCCTAACGAAACATTCATGCTAACATTTTAGCGAAGACTAACGTTCTAAGCCACTGAAGGTACTGAAGTCTTACGCCATCTACGTCATGGAGACAATCCCGCCCTTGTTCAGGAACGTCTGTAGCGACTGAAACTCAAACTGCAATCACTCCAATCGATTACTTGCCACTTGCTTTAGATATGACGAAATGCCTTTCAATACTGCCGCCCCTGGACATTCCGTAACCAGCTGTCAGCTGTCGTTGCCACGTACAATTCAGGAGAAAATGAAATTGGCAGCCGAGTACTGAAACGCGACGTCTCTGTGCTGGTAAGAGATACACGACTAAGAAAACTTTCATCCCAACCATACGGCCTATTGCGGAAAGGTGCATTAGCATCATGAAGACTAGATGCTGCGAGTACTCACAGGTCCTGGCTGCGTGTAAGACACGGGCTGAACCACAAATCAGTTCCTCAGTGCTCTGCATATTGAAAGAGAATGTACATACCACCGGCCAGTAAATGTCTGGGATCCAGTGAGTATTTCGTGAGAGGAACGACAAATAATGGCGACTTACTGATTTGAATACCAGGCTCGTGTCCATCATAAACACCAGGAATGGCGACCAATGGACCAGGTGCTCCATTCCCGCCGTTGATTACGTTCAGCTGAGCACAGGAGATGTAAATTTGGGCGCCTCCAAAGGATGACGCGCCCTATCAATTAGCAATCAGTTGAGACAGGTTGACAATGTAAAGTTCATGCGGAACTGACGTGAAGTGCGATATGTTCGACGCGGAGGAGATATTGTCCGCTGGGCAACGCGTCGGGGAGTTGGAAAGAGAATTGAGTCAAGTCTGTTTGTAGTGAGATTCCAAGCCGTTGAGGGTAGATTATAACGTACTATCCGTTGTCCAGGTAATGCTTGATCCACCATCCGTGACGGGGACAATTTCCTGGGCCGCGAGTTACGGTATGCATTGCGCTCAAGGAAAAATTATAACATACGTGAACTTTGAACCACACAGTACCAGAGCCGTCGAAATCCGAGGCGGCAACATTGTCGGGGGCCTTAGCCATATAAACTATAGCAACAAGTTGAGAGAGCCGAATCAGAGTTGATACATCCGGATGAGCTTACCATTCAATGTTCCTTGGTGGAATATGGCTTGATCTAGTGCAAATCCAACCTATAACTGGGTCAGTGTGCGTACATGGGCTACAATCGGGTTCACCCATACCGTCGTGCCAGCAGAAACGGTAGCCGTCTGTGTGCTTGGTCCTGAAGCAAGGCCTCCGGCGTTACAGCGCAGGTCGTTTGAGGTTACGTCGGTGATCTAACAAGGAAATGGTCAATGACCCTGCGAACACTGTTGGACTCGCAGGAGACAGACGTACGGGGGAATTCGAATTCGTGTTTGAACGAACATATTGATAAGGGGATGTGGTGGTTGTTCCAACAATTAGGGAAGTAAACCGATCTAGACAAGAATTGGGATTAAACCATTGCAACGAATGAAAAAGTAACGTACAATGCGCGGAGACACCAGACGCCAAAGCAACGAGCGCTGAGAGCAAAGTAAAACCTCGCATCATGCCTTCACGGTTCCTTGACCATACAGACGCTCCCCTTTATATCGTGTCGTCTAGGGGCGCACCTGCGGCAAATTTGCGAGACCAAGTGGCCTTGGAGAGTGCTTAGAGCGTTGCCGTGCGGGGATTATCGATGTTCTACAAACCTCGGAATAAAATATCACGAGAATCTTCCTTAAGACCATGACATCGCGGTTACACCGCTGAGCATGACCAACCCATTTGCGTCGCTGTGGGGTAATCGGTTCTTCCCCGGAATAAACGCCAGCCCAAAGCATTGTTCAAAGCAACTAGGAATCCGGAAATGTCGCGAGCAATGCTTGCCAACCGTCTTATCGTGGATTATGCGGACTAATAACATCCTTTGCGATAGTTATTCGTAGCGCATGATCTCCGGTCCTGAATCCTGATATCTCTGAGGAATCGCCCGCTGGTTAACCCCAGCTGCCACCCTCCGGCTTCAAGTCGAAGTCGTCACTGGTCAGGTGAACGATGTCGCTATAAACCACTGACATCGGTTGGAGAGCTTGTGCAAATGGGGTGCGTATGCTGGCATCAATACATCACCAAGTCTCAGGGCGGTCAGACGATGCTTTCTTGCCGGATTGAGTGAGTGAGAGTGAGTGGGATTGTGTTGAGCCATGTTGGTTTATAGTCACTAAGTCTGAGTTTTAAACGCGGTCACTGTTCAAGGTTCCGACAAAATTTCCAACAGACACGACTTCAGTTGATCGCCTTCGACTCGAAAGCTACCGTTTGGGTGAGTCACTAGCCTGCCGCCATCAATGGCTGAATATTGCAGTACGATAGGTCCAATACACTTGAAACCCTACTCGAGTACACGCCCAGGCAGAGGACTTGCAAGTTTTAATGGTCCCGTTCTCCGGAGGGCCCGGCTACACGATGAAACCCATATTCCAGGCAACTTTCATGTTCGTATCACCACCGACCACGAGCTACCCTTGCAGAAACACGCCAACTGTCACTTATCGTCGGGTAAGTCATCAAAGGGGTCCCTCAACATCAACAAGTACACGACTTATATTTGATGGCTTAGAAAAACGGAGTTAAGGCTTGTTATTGAGCCCGAGTCCCATTGTCGATGCGAATCGGTGGATATTCCGATACTGCGCATCAACAGGATAGAATATACCGGGAGCACAATGTCCTCGCTATCGTGCTTCCGTGAGTTGACCTATATTTAGCATACCCGCAACGGTCATTGATGCAGCGTTGGCAAAATTTAGATCCCTCCGCAGACTCTGATACCTGACCATACAAGTCTGCGCGGCTATTATACTCCATCAGCTACTCCCAATGGAACCGAACAATTGTACATACATGTTTTCCCGAAACATGGTCTCTATAAGCAGCCACCGGTATTCCTACCTTCGGACTTTGACCAATCAACCGCCCATGTAGAATCCTTCGGCCCTTCTTGGTATTTGCTCTGTAGGTCTATGGACAGCTTATTTGATCTGGGATAAACGCTGACGACTTATTTCTAGTTCTTGGTCCCAGACGGACCTCCGTTGTTGAGCCGCTTTGTCCTCACTCACAGGGATTGCTACTTTGGGCACGAGTACTTACAATACCTTCCCTATGGTCCGGTGGCCGAGGTCTCACATTGCCATTTGGTTGGACTAACCTTTCGTAGTAAACTTCCCAGTGAGTAGCTGATCTTGCTTGTGTATAATAGCGTGTTATTCTGTTTATCCAGAGGCCTGGTTCACGGTTATCTCCAAATTGACTCTCATGACCGTTTGACGCTCTTATCTAGAAACCGAACGACGGCCTGGAACTGGACTCGAAGAATTATCAACAGAATACCGAAATGTGTTTCCTCCTTGCCGCCCCAACTATTGCTCTTCCGATACCCGATGATATGGTTGCAGACAATGCGCTCGTCAGATTTGAGTCTCAGGCTGTCACCCTTATGTGTTGCACCCGAACTACGGAGATGAGACCATATAACTCGTTTGGGCGTCGTGCTGGCTTTCGTTGAGCACCACTTGTGTTCTTCCGACGGCTCAGTCTATCTCGCATGTGCCTAATCTCATTCAATGACAAGCCCGGACGTACAAGGGTCGTCCAATTCATTCCACACCTATATTCAATCATGAACGATCATTGTCAGTCCCTTTTTCATTTCTCCGGTCAATAAATCGCATTTAACTAGGCCAAGCGCCATAATTACCGGTTTAATAACCTTCGTAAAGTCTCCAACGGAGGGTCGTCGTCCTCAATGTTCGTATTGCTGCAGCGCGTAACGTAATCTGGAAACTTCCGTATAGCCTTGGATTTACTTCTGAAGCATCGAGCTCGACTGCGGAAGTATGGAAGAAAGGGACTCAGTGGCGTGCATCGTTCAGGTAAGCATGTCCGCGACTAGTTGTCAAACACTGGACCCCTCCCAAGATTCGAGAAGCTGAGCCCCGAATGGCTCGATGACTTAGCAATATGTACTGTTCGCGACAGCACACGTAGTCTCCACAGATGTGAAACGAAATAACGAAGACGAGCAGCCCTTGTCGATTATAGGCATGCCCCCCTTATTAATTGCTGAAGCTACTTCACGCTGACTCATCGTGTATCATCAGGAATTACTGTTCACTTGGTGATGACAATAATCTTCTAAAGGCTAATATTTTCTGGTCCGTTGACGACCCCTTTTGGTGCCACAGAGCGAGAGAATGCTCTGAATGTATAAGCAAACTTCATTGGAACAAAGGGAACCCATTGATAAATGAGAACCCCAACGAGGTTCAACAAGCATCCTCCAGTATCCCAAAATGTGCAAGGGCTCCAAGTCCACTGGACACGGAGTTGTGACCCTCGATCGGGGTTCCCGAACTGAACCATGCACACGACGACAAGGTACGCTTGAGAGCCGGCGATGAAAATATTCTCCGCATTCTACTAACAAGGACGCCCACAGTGCACTAGGAACCTCTTAGCACTGTCCTCCGTGGACTAACATGGGCGGTGGTATCGGCGTGCAACGGCGTAGACTTATCAACCCACCGTCTTGTTATGGAATGGTTGCCTTCCCTGACGCCGGATACCATGTAAGATATGCTGCATCCATATACGACAAACGTCAGGTGATGGGACAAGGTGTGACCGAGGGAGTTATCTGGGCATATGCACAAAGTCCTACGCGACGGAATGGTAGTTAGCGCCTTACTCGACTTAGCACATATCTCAAAATACTCAATAACAGTTTAATGACCCATTTCCATACAAATTGAGCACTATGGAAATTTCAGAAATAAGCCGGAAAAGTTTTTCATAGTCTTCAATCTCTCGTATCTGCGCGCGTTGAATTCAAGTTCGGGTTTTTCATGTTTGTCACTCAAAGTAACGCTTATGCACGTGACGTTTGTCGTGAATGGATGCAGCATATCTTAGACGATGTGTGAGCAGGTGTCATTGCTTCTTCGTTGGAGTGTGGTTAATCGGCGTTGGAGTGGGTATCTTTCTTGCAAAATCCCCTTCGTGTCACTGGCTCTATTCTTCCTGCTTCAAGTTTCCTCGACTCATCAGAATCGATGCTTCACTGTCCAAAGGCATGTCTGGGTATCGGACAGTTCGTATCTTCGTATCTGCATGGGCATCACGGGAAGGCGAAACTTGTGGCTCACTTCACGAAGGCGATAGAAAACATAACGTGGGCTCCAAGCTAGGTGATCCCCCTTTACCCCTGTCGCATAACGGTGTAGCCGATGGTGGCGCCCTCGCGAGACCTCCCATGGGATGCTTGACTATTTCTACACACTATAGGCGGTGATGGCTTAGATCCTAGCTAGACGGGCCCACGGGTCTCTACTGTACCCAAAAACCTACGCCACTCAAATTGACAGGAGTGACAGTGTGCATTAACTGCCGTTATTCTTGTGTCTAGGGCCTTGTGTTCGCATCGACATTCTCATCGCCTTCGCGCGCCGTGGCCCGGGGAATGCCAATTGGCGGTTGGAACGGCACCCCAATATCACTCCATCCCAGCGCCCTTGTCTTGTGGCACTGAAGCTTGGTTTTGGGTTTTGCAATCCCAGATGCGACCGTACCGACGGATGCAGTGTGGCACATCTATAACCCAGGCTATACTTGTCACTGCGACCATCTGATGATGTTTGCTCCGGTATGTTTTCTTCGTCGCTGATGATCATGGTTAAGCTCCATCCAAACAGATGCCTCCTACTAAATCATATTCGAAGGGCCGGAGCCCGGGGGCATGGATAGACTACGAGCGCGCCCATCCTAAGTTGATATACGCTTGTTTTGTCTGCTTGGAATGGAGAGATTGAGGTGTGCTATTCACGGCTTCTCGCTGTCATCTGTTTTCCTCATGTACGTGAGCAGCAGCGAAGAATGGAGGCAGCAGCATCGCCCGATGATCGTTCGTTGCCGCCCAATATATTGCACAACACGGAATCGCGAATCGCGTCGCGTTCCGACGTTGATAGTTACATCATTTGAGCCATGAGCTTGAGGTAAGTCATGGAAGCTTGAGACAATATGCAATTATTATTGGCTTGCTTAGACCGCCCGAATCGGAAAACGCATCACGGTTCCTAAGTTGCTATAGATCGCGGGAGAGAACGTCTTTCACCCCGCGGCAGGGAGAGCATGCTGTACATACAGCAGCATCACGTCCTCCTCTTAAGTAACAATCACCATCAAGATTGCGTGCGGCTCGTCATGATGAACCGCAGGCGCCTGAGCCATTTGACCTCGCCCGTTCACGCACCATGAAAGGCAAGACGGGCTGATGAATGATAGAGTTGCGTAGGTTTGTGTGCGACTCGTTCTCAAGCACATACTCGAAATTAACATGCATGTGCTTACGAGACGACCTGCTGTATCTCTTGCTACCACGATGCACAACCAATAGAATGCCATGAAGTTAAATAAAATCGTAGCCTATGTACCAAGGGTGAATGTTCTTGCTTTGGTCGCCCTCGTGCAGTCCTACAGTACTCGTACGTACGTTGGAGCTCAAAAATAAATACGATACTAGAACGGGCCCTTCTGAGAATGAATGCTGGAAAAACGGAAGCCAGTTATGTACATACTTCATTCTAGAAGTGGTCTAAATAGTCATCTTCACTGCTCGCCGCTATCCGCCTGTCTTCCTTCCTTCGGTTCGTTCCGCGTTATATGTCCCGTTAAGTCGTAAAGTCAATCTCTCCAAGTGAGAGAAAAATGTGGCGAGTCGGATCGCAGCAAGCTCACCAGAAGAACCCACTTCAAACCCCACCGGCCCCCTTCGATTCTGTTCTATGGAATATAGAAGGATATAGGACGTAAACGCCGTCAGATGATTCCGACTTGAGCTTGAAGCTTGAAAGTGCACAGTACTCAGTCTCTTGCCACTTTCTGTATTTTGGCTCGGAAGCGTGCGATAGTAGCTACAAAGGAAGAAGTCTTCCTTATTCTGCGGAAGATGTACGTGCCATGCTGAACCGAGCAATCAAACAGACATGTCAAAGCAGTGTTGCAGGAAGCCAAGTGGCTTGCACGTACGCAGAACATCATCCATAACTTTGGAGTCGACATGAACCAACCCTTTTCCTTTTCCTTTTCCGTATTTACCACTCCGACTCTCTCAGCATTCAGTGCGACACCCAAAGGAAGGAATGCAAACGCCGCCGCCCATCAATCTATCCGAAAGTAGTACTTGAGTACCGAGCATATAACGGAGCTAAACCTTATGCAAGTGTCCAAGCGGCGCATGACAATCCCGCCCTCTTTCAGGGTCTCTGCCCAAACCCCGCCGCTCTCCCACTGATATTGTTGCCCTTCTCTTGGATTGTATAGGCCTTCCGACGACCTTGGGAACTATTCATGAACCGTACAGCAGAAGACATACCGTATTGGCTAACCGTGCGAGCGCAGTCGACGAATCGACGGCAGTGTGAGAGTGGTAGCAGAAGACATCAGGATTCTGGAGCGTGAAGTTCGTGAAGAGTGGAGAACTTGGGGATTGGCACTCAGCCTGACTCGCGGAGTATCTAGCCTGATGCAAGGCATGGGGAATTTCCAGTCGGTGTGGCGAACTCTGCGGCTTATGGCGAGATTGTGCCGTGGAATTTGAAACTCACTTGAATCGTGCTGGTAGCGAATATATTGACTAAGATGCTGGGTTCGACGGTGCTCGGTCCTTGCCATCCATTCAAACGATTACTAGAAGTTGTTCCTGTTGTCCTGAAGGCACGATTCCGAGAATCACAGCGCGCAATACGCCGTAAACGCCTACTCCCACGGAGCCGATCGCTAATGGGTGATATATTTCTTCCGTCCTCGTCATTGTACACGGCCGGCTTCGTCCATGACCCTCGTCAGGTCTCGGCTTAGGCTCTTCTTTTCTACCCATGAATATCGTAGGCGCTAGTTGGCTGGAGAACGAGTCGAACGCGAAACGAAGTCAAGAACTTGAGCGTGAGATCAATAACAGTTTCCAGAACGTCCGCGCCAGAAGCCGACGGTTGGGTATCGAGAGTCGTTACGGAAGGCGGTAAAGGCGGGAGTCTCGGTTGAGAAGGTCACTTTTAGCACATCCGGGATGCCCAGTCATTCGAAGTCGGTAGCGGTGGACGTATAATGGCAGGCAATAAAGAAGATGGTAGCAAGGAACGACCGCTAGGAAGGAATCGAATCTCCGCCACCGCAGCGTGCCGCCAGTCGCGCGAAATACACGTACACAGTACGCGCGGGAGCAGTACCCGTACAATTCCATTGCACAGAATAGAGGTAGCTGCTGTTGACGTGCTTCGAAGGGGAGTGAGAAAGGCGGGGTCACCGGGAGCGCCTACCGAGGCGTCGGGGGTCGCGATAATTGTCGGAATTGAACGTTGGGCATTGTGTCTGACGGCGGCGACCTTGGTTTGTGAACTTTAAGTGCAAGTTGGGACCAGGCACATATTCGCCATCGTCCGAGATTTGACAGCCGCTTAGAGCTCCGCCAACCTCGCGTGGCAGTACTATTCTTGGAGACGGGGACTAAAAGGGCCTTAGGCGCCCGTCCATTAGCGGAGATGAAGGAGCAAACGGTTTGGTTTGAAATTATCGTGAACTCCGTCCGATCTTATTACGGCTTTACGGGTCACTTGGTGGGAAAGGCGATCACAGATTTGGTCCATGCGAACGACGTGCGATGTTGGCGATGTACAGATGCGACGGGAACCTAGTCGAGATGCGTAATATATAGACCTCGATACGATGCCTTGAAATCCCCTTCCCATACAGACCACCGCTACCACAGCACTCCCGCAGCGTCCAGCACGCAACAAAAAGAATACCAGACACCGCATTGGGTTCACACGTCAGATGCTACTCAGCCTTCCCGAAGAGCTCGTTTCGCACATAGCCCTCCACCTTCTCGCCTCCCAGCCATTCAAGCCACCGTATGTCCTGAATTCGCTACGCCTGACATGTCGGTCGCTGCACCAGCTCCTGGGGTCGGACCATTTCAAAGCAAGGGCGTTTGGAGTCTGCTTCGACGTGGGCAGCGTGGGCAGAAGGAACTTCGTGGCGGACACGGGGATGCGGGCAGATCAATTCGAGGTATGGGGCACAATCGTTCACTGGATCTCGGAGAGGGACGTTGCTGGCGACGAGGCGGACGGCGAGCACGAACCTAGTGATGCTCAATTCACCCTTCTCTCTGCCCACCCATGGGACGTTGCAGAGACCTTTCTCCAAGCTTATATCATGCTTGTGTCCAACGACGGCAAGAACCTCGCGCAGCTTGAGCACGCCGGCCTTTACCCACTGCTCCGAGCATACCTGAAGAAGTACCTGTACAAGGAAGAACTACTGGATAAGGGCTGGCCGGTTGAAAGTCTGGAGAACTCGTGCGCATTGTGGCTATTGTGGATGATGACAACTGAAGAAAGATTAAATGAAGAAAGCCTGGAGGAGAGGGAGGAAATGGTGAAGATGGTGCTGCCGTGGGTCATGGTTCCGTTCAGAGTGCGTAACATCCCGATCATCCTTGCCACCTTCCGCTCCGTCGATCTCTTTGATCGCACATACCCTTTGCTACCCCCCGCTCCGTTCCGTCGCTGACGCTGCATACAGTACTCAGCGGCGCATGCTCCGCCGTCCCACTATACTCTCCCCCTCTCCCCGACCCTATTTATCCCAGAAGATGACGCCGCCACCGCCGCGTCGCAGTCAAACGCACACGGTCGGCGGCGGCGGCGGCGCCCCTTCCCTTCGTACAACCTCCCTCACTCCATTATGACCGCGCACGGTCCATACCCAATATACGGGCCCACTGTTCTCCCCACACCGACTCCCCCTTCTCCCTCAGCTTCTCCAACGCCGCCCGACACCGAAGCCGAATCCCCCGCCGTCGCTACGAACCTCACCAACTTCTCTGCATCTCAGGTCATGCAAAACCTTCCATACACCCCCGCCAATTCTCTCAATATCTCATACTTCGGCACTCGCTGCCCATTCTCCGTCCCTCCGCCTTCAATGGCAGCCAAGATGCTCTACTTCTCGCGGCGCGAGAGAGTTGGGTTCGGCATACCCCCACATTTACCGGCGACGAGGGAGGAGGCAATTCGCCTCGCACGAGAAGCATGGGAGAGGGAGCAACGTGAAAACGGACTTGTCGTTGGTGAAAACGGTGTGGTGTGGGATGGACGCATGCGCGTTGGCCCGACAAAAGAAGACATCATATACTTCAATGGACATAAGGGTACGCAATTGCCGATGAGGACAAGCTGGTACGATAGCTGGGATGGCCCGGACGGTATGCTTTTCGTTATCGACGTCATTGTTCAAGTTCGTTAACTACTGCATTTCTCAGCTCTCTCTATTCCTCCGTCGTTGCGGTGGGACAATGACTACTACCGTTCGCGGTACTGCTACGACGTCTTCCTCGAACGAGGCAGGCGGAATGGCGACGTGTACACTCCCGGTATGCTAGATGGGTTGTGGCAAGGCCGCATGCTCGTAGGTCAACCCAGTTTCGACTTGGCACTATATTTACCCCATTTTCTAGGTCCCTTCGGAAAACCGCTTCCTCTCGCTCATGACAGCCCCTCGTCTCCCAGTGGACCCCAACTCCCGAGTCGAGGGCCGGCCTGATTACCTCACCGAAGAGTATCTCTTCACCGCGACCGTGCCTGTATACATGCGGTTGGGCGAGTACCACTGGCTCGATGGGAGCAGGCGGCGCAAGGACCGGACGAGATCGACGTTTCTGGCGTCAGACCAACCCCTTGGAGATCGCTTGGCAGCGCTGGACGAAGAAGCAACCGAACCAGGAGGTATCGTGCGCTGCGCAGAGAGGGTTAACAGAATCGACGAGGGTATGAAAAATGCGTGGTTCCCTCAAGGTACTGGTTTAGTCATGGATGATGTACGTTATCCTCATTTTATTCGATCTATTCCGATTTTTTTGACCGTTGATTTTTTATTCTATTTTTCGTTTCGCAGGATGCGGTCAAAGTGTACCCTCCGCCTGCGAACTTAACCGCCCCATCGGAAAACTCGCCCTTTACGCACTTCCACCACTATCAGGAGCAGATGAGACAGGTCGTGCCCTCGGTGTATGAAAAGTACCATGCCACGGAGTCCAATTCACACGACTCCGAGCATTGTGCGGAGTGCCTGCGACGGGAAGAAGAGAAGCACACCATGCGGTTGGTGGGAGGCGCCGAGGATGAAGAGGCTATGAGACGACGGCAGATGTCTATAGCTACGGGAGACGACGCTTTCGATGACGGCCTTCGTGGCATGTCGATGGAGGAGGAAGCAGAAGAGGCCGCAATTCTCCGTGATCGCCTGGGTGACGGTGGTGTTGAGAACATATTCCGGAGCGTTGGCTTAGGGCGTGCATTGAGGAGGAGGCGTGGAGAGGCAATTTCGGGCGTGCATTTCAGAAGGGATGTTGATAGGGACTACGTTCGCAGTATCTCAGAGGCCGACATGGACGTCGATGACGCCGAAGCAGAAGGTGGCGAAGGAGAGTGGATGGACGTCGACCCCGAGGATGATGATGAAGACGACGACGATGCCTCCTACGCGTCCAGCGATGACGCGGACCTGCCTGCTGACGATCCCCTTGTCCTTCCCCCATGCAATGGCGTTCGAGATATCCTCATCCTAGGCTCTACCGACCCTCCTCACGCCCTCGCCTGGCACCCCTTCGTCTTCCGCGGTCGCATACGGCCTTGGGACGGTCTAGTTGGGATTCTACGGGTGTCCAAGGATCGCCAGCTCGGCGATGCATTTTTCTACGGCTATATCATCGAAGGCAAAAATTTCGTTGGAAACTGGAGGAACGTAGGAGCGGAGACCAACGCTGGCTTGCCTGCTTGGGAAGGCCCATTCTCCATGAGCAAGAGGGAGTGAAAATATGTTTCTTAACTTCGTTTCAGCGATAGAACTTCTTGCTTTTTCTTTCTGTTTGCCATTTTAGGGCACGGACAACGAACACAAGCTGCCCACCATATATCCGCCTCAAAAGTATCCCCGCCTCATATTTGTCGCCTCTCGCATTGCATTTATATTGCTTGTATTTTGTATGTATCTATGCCAGCTCGTACACTCTTCAGTATATATTGGCCGCGAGATTCCGCACATACCCGTAATGATATGTTACTTATGGTCCAACGGACGTTTACATACTGCATTTATCGCACGTATATCCCGCACTCATGTTTTGAGCTTTAGCTTTATATATTTACCGCATAGCTCGCTTGTTGTCTTGTATACTACGTACTACTCTCTACATCTTCATCAGCATCATGCCATGTACACTTCTTAACTTCATTTCTTCCACAACAGACGATTTTGTCGCATCGATGACCCCTGAAGCCCCTAAGGTACCCAGAAGGATCAGGTCTCAGGGGCTTGGCGCTGTAGCCAGTGGCGTTTCGTCCTCGCTACACGACGCATGGTGGTGAAGTGATATTGCAAGATGCCGATCAGAAGGGAGGCCATTGTCCATATTTCTTCACAGCACACAACGGCGTTTCAGGATAGAAGTTCCCTCAGACACTCCGCGAACCCGATTACAAAATTACAAAGAGATCCCATCGTCACCCGCGCCACAGCATGCAGTCCTTGTCTCTTGACGACACTACACATCCATAACCCAAATTCAAGGCCGCTTGATTAACTATCACGGCAAGAGTCTAGCATAATTTGATTCCGCTCTGTATGGTAAATTCTCCGTTGGCTTCTTGTTGGCTTCCCTAGGTATTGACATTCATGCAAGAAGCTAGCGGCGCCGCATCGTATTGATATAGTCTTGGAATTATACGAGACGGAGATTAAGCTGTTAAGAATATGCACTGGTGACAACCGAGGCTTCTGAATCGAGCCATTCGACCTCATCATGACCGGAACTGCACACTATGATACGCACTAGCTCAGCTACTAATTCATATCACGTCCCAGCCGCCCGATTAATGCGTGGACCGCTCACGGTTATGTAACGTCGCACGGTTTACGACGCCACGATCAGCAGGTATATTTCCTCCGTCGATCTTGCCCGACTTGAATTCAATAGGCACTTCCATGATGGTGAGTACGACCATGGGACATTGATCTGGGACACGGGTACAATCTTATTGAAGAGAATAGGCTGACCATCGCGTCTGGTGTTTGTCTTTGGGGTGATATTTGCCCATCACGTAAATATCACCGCGAATTGAATTGGCGCAGCGGACTTCCTGGAAGTAGTTGGGGACAACCTAAAGACCGTGACGAACTATGTATGTATGCGACGGTACCTTACTGATTGCGTGAGATATCTAGGTTTGGTGAGCAAACGACTGAGAAATATTGGGGAAAAGCAAATAAAAAATACGTTTAAATGTGTTTTGTCTCGCAGCCTTACCGGTCAAAGTAGGACGGATGGACTGGACATAACGTTAGCAAATGGAATCAATTGGGATGGCTCAACATCCAAGAACAAAAAGCGTGATACGATACATTCGTTCAACAAGTTAATGAGAACACCAAAGATGTACATTCGTATGTGAGTCAAAGTAAATCTAGGTACTCGTGCGAGCGGTGCTCCACACCTGATGCTGGGAAGGCCTACTGCACTTCCAGGACTGCACGCGGTTGCCGTTCTGATTATTTCCTTTGACGGAATCAACGCATTGACCTTTATTGAACTGAGTTAAGTTCGACGTGATGAAATGGGTTGATTCACCTTGATTCTCGATGTGCTTGTCGTCCGTGTAATTCCACTGCTGCGACGCCTTACCAGCCTTGCAAGTCTTCACTTCAATACGATTGCCATCGGCGACGGCTGAGGATTGGGTTAGATGCATCAATACCTTTGACGATTAAGACCTCACTGTCGCCAGAGTCCAGGCAGTAGTTTGTGCCCGCGAGTTTCACCACGGTGGGACCATCTGAAATTTCCCAGTTTTGCGCAGAGGAACCATTGCAGTCATAACTGGATGGAATTTATTAGTGTCGGTGGTAGAGAAGAAGACACGAAAGGCCTACACTTGAACCGGTTGTCCCCCTGATCTGATATTTCCCTGCAGATCCAAGCATTTGCCTAATTGTCCGAACGGATGCAGCTGCACAGTTTTGACCACAGGTGCTGCAGACACTAAGTGGATCGCAACTGGGACGAGAAAAATAGTGGCGGCGAACTGAACAAACATCGTACGGGTGAAGATGGTAAAGATGAAGGTTAGTTCTGCGAATCCGCAGCATCGCTCCCGTATTATATGGGCGACCCTTGTATCCGCCTCGTCATTTGCGGATGACGCGAAACGATGAGGAAGAGGAACGCTGCCGACAAAGTGTAGTTCCGCACCGATTGCTAGAGAGCCATCGCAGACGGCCATTGGGTCGGATGAATACTAGGGGCTGCCTTGGAAGGGGCCACAGGCACTGCAGGCCGAATGAGACCTATCCGCTATGTTACTTCCGCTTCTTACAAGAAAATGGAGACCTTGGCTTCCGAATCACCCTCATTGAGGTCGATCACTGTGGGGGTCCCTAATATAACCCGGAATGGCCAAGAGTGCCGGCGAGGCGTGGGAATTATGTCACAGGAACACCGGTGCCACCATCGAACTGGGAAATCCTCCTTTTACTCCTACTCCTCTCTGCCCGGATACTCATCGTTTCCGGAATCGGAATACGAACGAAAAGGAGAAACATACATGCCCACATGTTCGATGAAGGAGCACCGTGAACAACTCAGGTACTGACGGCGCCATATCTATCATTCAAGCCTCGGCCGATCCATCACCTCCCGGTAAGTAAGGTTTTTGGCTACTATCCTGTGCAAAACTCTTGAATTTTACGGCGATCTTACGCATGAAGCTGTCTACATACTCTGATCAACTGGCCTGAAGAACGCCAGGGGAGCCGCCACCAGGTTGTGGGAGGGCAATTTGAACTTAATATGGACATATCAACGCGTCAAACATAACGCGCAGAGCGCTGCTTTACGATAGCTTCTCAGCGAACGTAAGAGCCTTCTCGGAACTTTATGATGAGGTGGCGTTCGCTTAGTTCTTGTATGCCCGCCTTTCAGAAGTCCCGTTCTCAGAAACCGCGTCTCACGTATTTTGGGGTTGCTCCGGTCCATATCACAATCCAGATGTCATCAACGCTCTATGGCCGTTGTTGGGCCATCGACCTGTATGTGATGCTTTACACGTGTGGTTTATTCAGGATCGATTGTCATTCAATATGGGCCCCACTCGTAGCGCCTGCACAATACCGTGTAACCAAGGCACTGGCGATGCAATTCCAAGCACATAACGTTATGGCAAGATCAAGCTGTTTCTTTGAAAAGTAGAAGGCAGACTCAGTAGCTGATTGACGAAGAGCCATGGCAAGAGACCTGTTATTTGTTGTGTTGTTCACTCCGCTGAGCAGCGTCTAGATAACCGTCACGACAATTTTCATGCTTGCTGCGCGATGTTTGAAATTTTGTTCAACGTCGTCGCTTGCTCTAAGACATGAACTATGCTCATTGGCTTGCTATGTTTGCCATTGACTCATTAACCGGTACATGCCTACGAGCTAAGTACGTCCTTGTTATATCTATATGCCTGATTTATGATCTTTATCGGTCTAGCTGACCCGCTTGGTTCATGGTCAATGCCTTGTATGCGGCTCGCTTGCTGGAACGCTCGAAACTCGTGTCTTCCGAATGTATATTCCGTTAAGTGACTTAATCAAATTTAGAAGCGACATTACTGCCTTCAACTCTGGCGGCCCGCCTCCACGCGTCAATCCCCTTCTGTCGCCGTGAAAGCTACCACATCTACACAATAGTAGACTTCATTATACGGAGCACGCCGATGATTCACACCGAACCGCCCGCTACCTATCTCCCTGGGTTCCTAAACTGAAGGCAGAACCTGCATACGAACGAATAGTGGCCGTGCAGAGTTCGTCCTGACTTCCGTTGGCTCTGTCGCTATGGTCAGCCAACCACCATATGGCACCGCTATTCCTTTTGATGCCTCTTGCGGTTCTACCCTCTTACCGTAAACCCCACGCGTGTGGAAGTAGTCCCATGAGTGCGATTGAAGCAGCTTGAATAGTATCTCGGCACCATTACCTGGTTCTAGCCCGATGTGAGCACATAGAACACATCCATCCCGTTGGCATAAGCCATCATTCCTTGGCTGGCCGTCCTTCATCCACGCCACTGACTTGCGCCCCCCACTTGGGCCTTTTGGTGAACGGCACGCTTCTTGCTTCCGAGTCAAACTTAGGCGTCATCTGACAAACCTGCCTAATCCTTCCCAACTTCTCCCTTCTTCTGGCCTGTTCGGAGTTGAGGTCTCCGGCCGCCCATTGTGTCTTGTTCGTTATCGCTGAAAGCGCTTCCCCAGTCAAGCATCGGTAGTTTGGATCCGATTCAGTATCCCACAAACTACGCGAATCACTCGGTCTACGGCTTGCGTGGATGGCTTTGGTCAAAAGGGTGCAGCTTGGCTTACCGAAATACACACCTAATCCCCAACCATCATGCTTGTGGGGAGGTATCTAATGCACATGTGAGCAGTGGCTTCTTCGAAGGATTTGTGGCGTCTGACAAATTGATCCCAGTTCCCATCTATCGCCCCGCTACGACCATGAACGGCGTCGGCCAGGCTGATGAATGACACCATATACGCAATAGCCGGTGTATTGATGTATTTTATTCAAGGTCGTCCCCGTATGCTCCGTATACAGTCTTATCGCGATTCATTTATTTGTCGTAGTCGGCCCGCACTGCGCAAAATGGTTCATTCAATGCCTGAACGGCCCAACGCAGTCGAACTCGCTCGCAATGTCGCGTCGTCACACTCCAATTCCCGATAATTCACGGAGGGTTTATTCTATGTGGCCCCAGGCACATCGCTGACCTTCCTGTCTCACGTCAATAAGACCTCCACTTCACAGCGGCGGTTCCCATGATGATCTTCCATAGAGGGTCCCAGGTGAATACACCCTAGCTGCTCTTCGAGGCGAGAGTTCTTAGTTCAGTCAGTCAGGCGCCACGAACGTGCTTCCTCCACAACGAGGCACCCGACTTCGTCAATGTCGTCTCTCACTGAACAGAATTAGCACCTTAGCGCCATATCACTGGTGCTGATTGATTGCAGGACGTTCGCGGGAGAATCCTTCGCTATTTAGATCCCACTCCAGACCTTCAGTCTACTCCCTTCTTTTACTAGCAACGGCCTGGAGACAATCTCATCTGTGAATGAGTGTTGGTTACTGGGACACTCTGCCTGCTTTTGGGCTGCATGGCGTACGTCGCAGGTTGGCCTGGTGCGTTTCGCTACACCTTTTTCATTTCCGAGACGGCTGCTATAGCGCCCTTCCATCGCTGCTTCCCATCTCGCGTAACCGATCCCGTGCACTCGATTGCGCCTCATGAGGAAGTTGTTCGGGCTTTACGGGGGTACATATGTTTCGCGGGAGGGATCTCGTTATTAGGAGCCCCCATTTTAGTTCCTCAGTGACTTCCGGAAGGCCCACAATTGACCTCGCCTCATAAAATTTACCTAGACACCGAAACACATCCACCGGTTCAAGTCTGGAAAAGGGAGATCGACGAGGTCACCTTCTAGAGCTTTCGCACGGATCCTGGTGTGTGCGAGCCTTAGCCCTCGTTTGTTTCCCAGTTCCCAGTGGTGTCATTTTCGGGCCGCCCACAACTGATCGCTGATAGGAAGGCGAGGCATCACGCTTCTACGCACTACATTTGATCTCGCAGGACGTCGAACGACAATTATATTCTTGCGGAAATGCCGGAATCGACCCCAATGACGAGTGTAGGCACCACGACGTGATAATGTGCATTGAGGTGAAGTCCCTGTGGCGAGACCCCTTCGTTCTCGCCCTCGCCCTCCCAATATCCGACGTAAGGCCCATTCAAATGTCCTGGCATTTTGTGAAAGGTTTGTCCTGTCAGGCCAGCGACATCGTCACAGAAGTACGACCTACTATCTCTTGGTGGCACATGTCTACCTATGATATGCCAAATTGAATCTGGCTCTATCTGAGAGTCTTCTGTGACGGTGTTTGGCCCTCCATCGCTCGTGATGCGTTCGTCGTATCGCTCCTGGCTGTGGCGAGTGGATGTATCCGTGCGCCGTGGGGATACTGCTCCTGGATGGTTCAAATGTCTACGCCTGGGAATGGCGCGATGCTCGTATGTTTCCTCCTCCCTCCCCTTGCCTTCAACGTCTGATATCAGCATGCGTCGCACGATTCTAGCCCAATCTGCTGCACGTAACAGGACAACGCAATCTTCTATGGCCTTTGTAAATAGGCTCGATCCTGTCCGTCAATTTGACATTTATAATTACAGGTCAAGAGGAAGGAAATCTACGCCTTGCATCTATAAGCGCCCATGGACATTCTCGCTGATCTCGTTGTCGTTCGAAGCCGTACCGCATCACGGTTCCTAGTTAATTGAGAAGCCATCCCATCGAATCTGTATCCAAGTGCTCACCGCTGGCCGCCCCATCCCGGGGCTCGAAGTCTTCGTATACGACGCTTCACGGCCCATATTGTGCGCTGCACAAGTCTCTCATCCGATATTTACATAAACTGACAGGGTTCACCCGTTTTGACATCGCAGGATCTTGGAGCTGCCTTTGGTTTCAGTGCGGTCTTCCCTCGGAGCCGATCACGAATGGCCGGCCCTGGCGCGCGAAGGATGTCCGGACGATGTGGAACGTGCTTCTCTCTTGAGCCATCTCCTGCTGGCTGCCACTCAGAGCATTCTGATCGACCGTGGGGTACCTCGGCGCTTCTCGGAATCAAATCCTCCCTCATTGAGACCACGCATATTCGAGCGGAGAACAGAGACATGAATATTTTTCTGTTTTTGCATGCGTAGCTGCGCGACCGAATGGCGCCGGCAGTGTCACACTAGCTATCGGCGTCGGTTGCGTGACTGGTTGTTAAACTCAATCAGGTGAAGCAGTTGCCGGAAATGGTATGTGAATATCCGTCGTCGATTGCTTCTGTGAATAATAGAGTATTGCTACTAAGACGTCAAAAAATCCTATAAAGTCAAGCTCGACCCCGCTCTCAACTTGAACCCCAACCACCATCATCCCCCCAAATCTCCTCATCATCATGCAGCCCGTCGACAACCAACAGTCGTTCCTTCCTCTTTACGATCAAAAGCAGGCTCGAAGTCGCCCAGAATCAGGCATCTCAGCCTCTATCTGGGCTCCCCAGCCTCTTCCTTCCGATTCCTCTTGGCCCAAAGCCATGGACAGCTTCGTTCGCATTGGCGACCGTGACCGCGACATCCAGTTTCAGCAGAACTTTGCCGAAACCAGAACGCCTTTGGTAGGTCCGACTCGTGAAGACGTCTTTGGACCTGCCGACAAGAGGCAGATTGGCGCCATTGGCGACGGACGAAGGAGGAGCAGCCCCGGAATCGACAGTGCAGTGAGTTGGTCGACTTTGACCCGCATATATGCGCTGAAACACAACTAACTCGAACGTTATAGCATGTCGAACAGTTACTTCGTACCCTGAATCTCAATTCACCGGCCCCCACAGCCGAACGACCCTCCTTGAACTTAAGCTTCGACGGCAATGTCAATGTTTCTACTTCCCCAGACTTTTCTCCTGCTTCCGTTGCATCTGCCCTCTTGACGCCTACCGACATGTCGCCTGCGAGGACGTCTTTCGCTGATACAAAAGTCCATGCCGGTTACGAATTTCCTCCTTTACCTTATCTAACGCAGCAGCAAGCTTTATTTGAACCAACTACTCCCACACGCAATTTTGACGATCTTACTTCATCTCACTCACCGACTTATCGTGCTACCCATCTTCCCTCGTCTTATTCATCATCTCCCAATAACGCCTATTCCTTCTACGAATCGTACTCTCAACAATCGCCATCCGGGCCTTTGTGCTCGCAGGCATTGATGACTACGCCTTCCCCTCAACGCAGGCTTGACAACGCCCGTGTCCCGCCTTTCGATTGGCATGCATCTCAGCCACAGCCTTCTCTCCAGGCGTATCCCCCTTTTTCTGACTGGATTCGGCCTGAAGAAAAACAGCTTCCCGACTTCGCTTCAGCCAGCATACCTCGTCAAGAGAGTTTACGTTCGTCCTTTGCTTTCAAATCAGCTGGGCCCCAAGGGGCTCACGAGGTATGCCCCGTTTTCTGGTTCTATTTAGTATCTCACACGTTGTCCTCTTTCAGCCAATCAACTTTTTGTCGCTCCTTCATCCGTCTTCATCACCTCCTTATCTGGTCTTCGTTAACCGTATAATCAAGTCGTCCGATCAGCAAGCATCGATCTTTCTCCAGCAGAAACTCAAAGTGGCAGATTCTGAGGAACGTGTCAAGATTGTAGACGCTATCTGTACTCGCGGCTATGAAATGATGGCCCATAGGTAATGCCGCCATTCCGTGGCTCTTATTTGGCTGACCTATCCTTTTAGGTTCGGAAACTGGGCCGTCCAGCGTTGCCTTGAAGCTGCGTCCAGCCCCGATGAGAGACGTAAGATTGTAGCTTGTATGAGGTACGACGAAGTACCAAGTTTCAGAGTAACGCAGAATAATAGATATCCATATCAGGGGTCGTGTTGTCGAGCTGGCCACCAACTGTTATGGGTGCCATGTCCTGCAGAAGGCTCTCGATTGTGAAGAAGACATTCGCCTGCTTATCGTATCTGAATTACTCCTTCACGATCCGGCCTCCACGCTCGTCAACAAGCATGCCTCCCATGTGTGGAGTAAGGTATGGTGGTTCTTCCGCATCCCACTGCGCGGGCTGATTCGTGTTCATTAGATCATGGAATTGACTTGGACTCACCCCGCACCACCCATTTTTGCGTAGTCAGTTCTCTTCCAAATTATCTTATCGTAGAGAGCTCACCTCTGGTATGTAGTGTCAACAAATCCCTTCAGGGCAAGTGGGCTGCACTCGCTTGTCACGAAACAGGATCTCTCGTCGTGCAGGTACGCGACGGGCTGTTACTTGCCCCTGGCCATCGATCTTATGCCAGTTCTTTCAGCACGCTTTCGAAAACTTGGAAGACAGCGCTAAGGATGGTATTGTTGACGAGTTACTTAACCAAGGAGCCTCAGTCTTCAGTGAAGTTGTCAAGAACCAATGGGGCGCCTACTGTATCCAGCACAGTAAGTTTTCTCCTTACATATCATGCCCGTTCGCTCAACATTTCGTATACAGTTCTCGAACATGGGTCTGATAACCACCGTCAGATGACTTTAGAACATTTGATCAGCGGTCTATTGGAGTTCTCTACCAACGAACAAGGCGCGAAGTCTGTCACCAAGGCTCTGAAAGAAGGTGGCAAAGATACGGTGGACAAGTTTATCAAGAGGATGTGTGAGCCAGCCAAAGGGTACGCCTATATTCTCTCCCTTTCCCCTTGCTTTGAAGATGATCTGATATACAATCCAGCGCTCGGAGGGCCATGATCGTCGATTTGGCCTTGTCAGTGACTGGAAGTCAGTTGATCGCCAACGTCTTGCCAACTGTATGTCTCAGATATGATAAACTCTAATGATGCTAATTCCTTGCCCTTGACCTCGACAGGCTGACAAGGAGCAGCGCGCCGCCCTTTACGACTGCATCAGGGGCCACATTGTGACCCTTCGTGGTTGCAAGACGGGATCAAAAGTAATTTGGCTCTTGTAAGTCTATTCGGCCCTCGTTGCGCACCACAAACTCATCCCGCCGACAGTGACAGAATGGTGAGGGCCTCTTTCGCACTGTCTTCGGTTATTCCTAATCTTCCCGTAGCGCGCATACTATGGTTACTAAAAGCTTCGCCCCCTCCCCTTGAACTATTCGCATTTCGCAAGCTGTCTATCATCGTCACCGAATCGCCGACAATATCTCCATCTTTTACCACCAAAGCATTACATCTTCCGGAGCATCTTCAAGAGATCGACTGAATGCATCAACTTACCAAGCACTCGCAATATTGTTTCCAAAAGTATAACGCAACATTTTCCTTCCATCATCTCAGGCTTCAGTCCGCATTACACATGTCATCAATTCATTTGCATGCCCACGACCCATGTACTCGCCTTTGTGCCCTCGCCCGATTTATCAAGGCTTCAACACAGCCGTCGTTCATCACCGCCGCTTTCCATGTTTACAAAGGTAATCCGTTTATTCCTCTTGGACATTATTGGCAGAGTAATTCGTTCCATCGCACGTGTTGTATCCAGTACATATCCTACCCCACTGTCTTTTTGGTAACACAGTCTACACTGTCGACCTCGCCGCATCGTTCCAGTTATTGTATGATATTAACGAATGCACTGAATTTATTGCTTTATCAAAGCCAAGACTTGAGTCTAGGATATGGTGGGTATTATATCTATAATCTATGAGAAACGTGGCGGAAAACAGTGATTATTGATGACGGCGGATGGTACTGAAGGAATGTTCGTAATGAAGTGGGTACTTGAGTACCGGATCAGCGAGATAACGGGAGAAATTTGATGCCGTTGCATACCTAAGCACTTGGGGTCCTCAGCTGCTCCCCAACCCACTTGTGTACACGTGCCCTCGACGCAATACCATAGACACGGGCGCAAAGCCACAGGCTAGTTGGTAGCTGTCTGCGGCTGTGATGCAGCAAGATAGCATGCGGCGGCTCGAACTGTTAGTTCGGATGGTGGAAGCGGAAATCCTAGGCGTCGTCTTGATCTCTGACCAGCACCAATTGAGGTCAGCCGTCGGGGCACAGCTGCTGGAGTCCTTTGTGATAATCGATATCGGACTGGGCCGATACGCTGAGTAGCTGATGAGGACGCAAGTCTGCGTGTCGATATCCTTCGCGCGTTCGCTCGTCTCGCTCGTTGGATGCTACCCCACCACGCCTGCGTAGTGCTGTTTTGCGTGTATATGATATCTGAGAATGACACGAAGGTACCGAGAATCGAGTAGAGCATGATACATATGGGGGGAGAGGAGAGTCAGTGGTAACGGACAATAGTCGCGTTTTATGGATCCGGATATCCATCTGTCACAATCACGGGCATCGCCATGCGCTGTGTTGTTCGGAGAGCCGTAGAGAGCCGCCTTATCCGGGAAAGCTCGGGTGCCGTGCAAGGTGTCTCTCCATTGGCCCATTTTAGGTCCGTTAGCGTGGCATGAAACCGAGATCGCCAGACATGCAGGAAATGACGAAGTAGCGACGAGACTGTGGCCGAACGAAGGCTCACAGTCACCAGCATGTCCGTATTTGTGTTGTGTTGCCGCCGAAGCCCCTGTTTGACGTTTTGACGCCGACGGGTCTGCAATGATGAAGACGTTCCGTATATTTTCCATACACATAATTTGGCGAAGAGTAGTAGACTAAGTTATATTCATGAAATCGTTACATTCATAAAAGGTCGTTCGATTGTGCGTATACGTAGTTGACTTTATCATGTACGAGTGCCATAGAATCTCAAACTTGAAGGCGCCATGCTTGATTGATATCGTTGTCGGTGCACTGCCAAGTCTGGACTTGATTACCGTTGGTGACATTTCCGTTAGTAAGATCGAGGCACAACCCTAAAGATTGGCGATGAGTGGAGCAGAAGTCCTGGAAATATAAGTATAACGTACCTTGGTTCTCAAGGGCGATACGGTCATCAGCGGTGAGAAACCATTGCTGGGCAGGAAGGTTGTCAAAGCATTCCCAAATCTTCATACCGACGCCGTTCGCGGGACCTTATTATACAGGTTAGGACATAAGGAAGGTAAAGTACTCTACGTACTAGAACCCGCGTCAAGGCAAAAGTTTGTCCCTGCTAATTGTACTTTCGTAGTTCCGGGCCGGATGATCCAATTTTGAGCAGCAGTCGCATTGCAGTCGAAACTATATGTAGGGATCTGTGTGAGCAGAGTTCGAACAGATAAAAAAATTGGCGATGAATTTTACACGTCGACGGCGGTCCCGTTGGCTTGAAAGTCACCCCGCACATCAAGACACTTGCTCGTGTCGACACTTGGGCTGATACGGAAGTTAATCTGCGCCGGAGCAGCCAGGACTGAGGGAAGAGCGGCGAGTGCAAGTGCCAAGAAGGTGGAGGGGAACTGTATCTTCGTTTTCTGTAGTAGAAAACTCGGATGAAGAAAAGCAAGTAGGCATTGCTGTATTTATATGTTCACCAGCCTCACTCGTACTATACGCGTCCGTCTGCTGCACTGGGTCCCAAATTGGAGGGCAACTGGCCGAGGCTTTGCATCGCCGTCCTGTGCATTGAACGGGCCACAGTGAACGTCGGGTAACATCGCCATTCGTCCAGACACGAGCTGAAGTAACAAACGGCTTTGAGAGTTCAGAAATAGACGGATCATGGGAGAGTCAGTCGTCCAAACCGACTGTCAGCGCTTGGATATGCAGGGCTGAGTGTAGGAGTAGAAGGCAGCGCGTGACGGTATCCTCTCGCGTACTGGACGAGATTCAGTAAGAGTTATTAATAGTTCGATCCAGAGAGCATGGCGGCGCGAAGTCACCGTAGTGGAGCTAGATTCTATGTGTTTGTATGGGGTATCCGAGGTATTTTGGGCCAGCGTCGCTTCGTTTCGTCCTCATCCTACAATCATCGCTGAGGTCACATGTTGAAGCGGCATGAGTAAGCGGGCCATGGAAGTCCCCGCCAGTGAGTTTGTGGTCAGTTCACAGAATGCATGCTTCAACGGCTGAGCATGTCGAGGAGCCGAGGTTCCATGGTTTGAAGGACACACCGAAGTGCCACATTTCATTTCCACCACGTACATCAGATCATGTGAGGTACTATGGCACCGCTCGATCTTGGAAGCGAGAACAATGCAGTGGGATTGGGCGAAGCGGCTTGAAATGCCCTATAACATAGCCGGGAGAATAATTTTTTGGAGGTCATGCGAGGCATCCAAAGTAGTTTTCCTCGGTGGGATGGCAGTTTACGAGACCGGAATAGAATGGAGGCTCGTTAGTATGCAGGGTTCAACGAGGGGCCAGGAACGGGGATCTCATTGGTTCGGCCGGGATTTCTCAGCCCGCTATTGGTTGTCTGGATGTTTGTCTTTATTTGCTCCAAAAAAGCTCTTTCTCTTCTGATTGGCTGGAGTGAGCGCCTAACATCGCCAGACTTTTGCGACAAGGGCGCTACAAGTAAGTGGTCATGTGAGCCCCCTTGATAGCCCCTGATAGCAAAGGGCATAAAGAGGGCACCCAAAACTAACCAGGGGCCGAATGAGGCCAACCGTAGGTTGGGTGATGAGGCCCAATTTGCAAAGCAGCACTTAGAACAGCTTGATAGAGAGTAATTAGTGTGGGGATGGCCTACAATAGTTGCCAACATCCCTTATGGAGTGCAAGATGCACCAAAACAAGGTATGAAGCACCAAAGTTCAGATAGTTGCAATTGGGGATTCTGAACATGACCCAAATACATGTGGCCCAAGTGTTTAGTATGCCCCAGTCTTCAACGGTCTCGTACATGCCGTGCTCCTAGCATCGGCCCTCAAGCCCAAGTGTTGTATAGCGTCGTGTTCGACGCGCGGACTTGAAGCTTCCCACGGCCCTCATACCCCTCGAATGCGTAAACGTGTAGTCCGATGGAAATGGAATTACAACTGTACATTGCAAGAGAGCATAGAAATCGAGATGTCTACCACTTCAGAGTCCAAACGATCAAATCGGCTGTCAGGAAATGCGACTCAAGGGAACCAAAGTTGGTTATTGTCATTATCGGTGCATTGCCAAGTCTGCACCTGGTTACCGTTTGTGAGGATTCCATCCGTAAGATCGAGACATAATCCTATAAAGATTGGTGAGCCAGGCACTTTCGTTTCAGAAATACAACATACCTTGGTTTTCGAGGGCGATCCGATTATCATCGGTGAGGAACCACTGTTGGGCGGGGAGATTGTCGAAGCACTGCCAGATCTTCATGCCGACACCATTTGCTGGGCCTTGAGATCCATTTTATTGGTCAGTATGACCAGCGGTACGAGGGGAAGTTCAGCTTACTTGAGCCCGCATCGAGACAAAAGTTTGTCCCCGCTAGTTGGACCTTAGTAGATCCTCTCTTTATGACCCACCTCTGAGCGCCAGACCCATTGCAGTCAAAACTAGGTAACTCAATGTGAGCTATAACCCAAGTGAATGATAGCACACGGCTAAGTGACTCGCATTTGAACAGGTGTTCCATTGGATTGAACATTACCCCGTACGTCTAGGCATTTGTTCCCATTGGATATTGGACCATCAGGCGGGAATGCTTGACTTGGACAAAATCTGTGGTTACACAACGTTAATACCAATACCAGTATATACTAAGCGCACTGCAGAAACATACGTTACTGTGAATCCGACATCTTCGCCAGGACATTCTGCCAGCGGAAGAGCTGGAGGGGAGTTTCCTGGGGGCGGCAAACTCAGAGGGTCTTGTGTAAGCGGGAGGGCGCTACTGCAATTGACTGTATCACAAGACAACTGAGGGCAGAAGCCGTTTGACTGAATAGACATTCACGTTAGGCGTTGAAACATAAGTACTAGAGTCGCAACTCACCGCAGCGGCATGAGGCGAGACACTTAAGCCCATGTTGAAGTGGATTTCATCCTTGAGGAGAAAATAGTACCCGTTCTATGCACATCTCGTGAGTGACGTCGATGCACCAAACTTTGCAGGCTACATACATCCAGGTCGAATCTAGCACTAGTAACCAATCTCCCAGTACCGCTGCCACCGTTGGCGGTGCTGTAAATCAGTCCAGTGAAGTTGCCTGGAAATGACTTCGTAACATTCGTCCCACGAGGAATAATGCCTAGGCCTTCAGCTTCGATAAAGAGGGGGACATCGCTAGGGCAGGCATTGCTTATGACGAAAGTCCTATCTGCCAATGCTGAAGGAAGGGCGGCGAGCACGAGTGTAAGGATTTCGAGTGTGAACCGCATCTCCGCCTTCTACAGTGGAGGGTTGAGACAAAGGATGGCTAGCATGCAAAGTCATTTATACGTTTAGCACCGTCTATCGTAAGCACTTTCATCGTACTAGAAAGTCCTAGACAAGGATGAATATCGCCGTCTTTCGCTCCTAAAGGACCACGATGAACGTTGATCAGATAAATATATCGTTGGCACTCGCCCAAATACAAGCTGGCCCAACGAAGGCTTATCCTTTGGGGAGAACGGCGACTCAGTGCACTGGGAGTCCAAAAATAAACAAGCCACGAGAGAATCTGCCGTACAAGCCGAAGGTCAAGAGACTGATACTCCGGCGATGTCTGGCTTGAGGAGAGCCAGGAGAGGTAGGGGGAAGCAGCACCATTCTAGAAATCCGGATTGGGGGAGGACCCGACGTAGGCTAGTATAACGACGCAAAGAGACCGGTCACCGTAGTGGAGACTTCCTTTCCTATCCTTTGCGGCACGAGAACCGCACGAGAAGTCGCTTGACTAGTATAGGTCTTCCTCGCCATATGACTTTGGTTGTCGAAGGGCGTTGACCAGGTGTCCAGACCTAAGTTCTGAGTCCCAGAGACTCCGGGAAGCGTGAAGCATTTCGATTAAGTGACTGCCACGTCAAATGTGAGCCACGTCGGATGTGAAGCCGCCTTTTGCAACGCAGCAAGTCGCAGCATTGTGCGAGAACCTTGATCCTGGTAATGGAGTATTACGGACGTGGCACTAGTACCAAGTCGTTGTGGCTATATAAGAAATTCCCACAATGACAGTCAACATTCCACTGTCAGTTTACGTCCTAGTTCAGCCAGTTCTTTGCTTTACCACCACAGGTTCTTCGATGCGGCTCAAACACTCTGATCGTGTGCTCATCACAACGGAGAACCTTGAAAGTATCGAGTCTATACTCTGATCATAGACGATCCTCCACAATCGACCGCGTATCTACTGTATGTATATTACTAGAAAGCACGTTCAAGATGGCGAGGGAAAACAGATGCGCCATTTCAAAGGACCCAGGCTTGGTTGATATCGTTGTCGGTGCACTGCCAAATCTGGACCTGGTTGCCGTTCGTAACATCTCCGTTGGTAAGATCAAGACAGAATCCTATACATAAAGGCTCAACGGTGCGTAAATCTTTACAAGAGGAGTATAACCGTACCTTGGTTCTGGAGGGCGATGCGATCATCATTGGTGAGGAACCACTCCTGAGCAGGGAGGTTGTCGAAACATTGCCAGATCTTCATACCTACACCATTTGCGGGGCCTTTGAATACGCGTCAGTCACGATAAAGCGGAGTCGTAAATGTATATAGCGTACTTGAGCCCGCATCGAGACAGAAGTTCGTTCCCGACAGCTGGACGCTCGTAGAACCGGGGTTGATGACCCAGTTCTGAGCGGTGGACCTGTTGCAGTCAAAGCTATATTGAACCGTAAGTACAGCTCGAATAGATAGATAAAACGGAACCAAAACACACATATCGACAGCAGTTCCGTTGGCCAAGAGATTACCCCGCACATTGAGACACTTGTTCGTGTTGACACTCGGGCTGATACGGAAGTCAGTTTGGGCCGGAGCCGCAAAGGCTGAGGGGAGGACGGCGAGTGCGAGTGCGAGTGCGAGGAATTTGGAGGAGAACTGCATCTTCGTTTTCTGGCGTAGAAACTTCGGATGAGGGATACCAGACAGGCAGACTCGTATTTATACGTTTGTCGTCGTCTCCCATGGCACGCCTGTCCGTTTGTCGCGCCGGAATTTTTGGCTGTGATGGCACTGGACAAGGGTTTTCATCGCCGTCCTGTGCTTCGAACGGGCGACCATGAGCGTCGGGTAGATATTAATATCATAGATATTCATTCAGGTACAAGTTGGATTGACAAAGACCCCCGCGATGAATGGCAATTTAACACTGAGAAACCAAAAATAAACGCGCCATGGGAGCCGAAGGCTAGCGGATTGATATGCCGGGGTGATGGGCCTGAGGAGGGGTAGGCGGAGGTAGCATCATTTCGCGGATATACCCCAAATGAGTTCGAGTAAGAAGTATTTATAGCAACCCTGATGTAGAGGCCACAGCATAGAACGGCGCAAGGTGTCCGTAGTGGAGTCGTTTTCTGCCATATTTACAACAATGGAACCAGAGGTAGCCATGAGCAAGGCCCATAGCGCCCTCGCTCGGATAGCAAGGTCGCTCGTGGTTAGGTCCTGACAGTCCGGTCGTCGTGTGCGCGTAAGCAGTGCTCCCTGGGCCGAGTCGTAAGTAGGCGCGAGTCTTCGCAGAATGTACGCTCGTTGCATTTGTCGAGGGTGTCCAGGCGTACGTCAGGAGGCCTGCTCGAACGGCCAGACGTCCCCATTTGCTGGTGTTCCATGGCATTATAAAGGAAATTGAAGCGAAGGCAATGGGGGAAGAGACGAAGTGACCGTGGGGAGCATTGCAAAAAGTGATATCGCCCGAACATGGTTGCTAGGCCGAGACTGTTGTTGTCGTGTGTCCTTCGAAGTTGCAGCTTTCTGTAAGGACCCCTGCTGACGAGGATGAGAGAGCAAAGACCAAGGGACTGTAAAAACTAATGAAGTGATGTATAGAAGTGGAAAGCGAACTCTGAGAATGTCAGATCCTACCCGATCAGCGCGTTACAAAGAGACGTTTGCTGAACGTCGTTCAGCCAGCGCTGCTTCAAGAATTGACCGTGGGATCGCATTCATGACTGTGCGAAATAACATAAGTAACACTCCCAAAATTGGATCCTGAGTTGATTTTTTGAGTCGGCTGGCAGGAGAGAAAAACACTCCTGCTCCATCGCCACATCGATATCCGCACAACGTTCTTCCAGCCAGGAGACAAACATAAAGCTCTATGAAGCTCTACTGGACGGCGACGCACATGCCCTGCTTTTGACATTCAAAGTCCCTCGAGTTGCGGGCGCCAACTTCAACTCAAGTACAAATCTAAGAAAACTAATGGTACTTATATTTCACTGTACTAGGTATGTTAATCCTCGCAGGTACTTCACTTTCCAACAATCACGATAGCAAGGGCAAGGGCACTGCGAGTCTGTTTCACGCTGATACGGTCCGCACTAGCCCTCCTCGCCGTAGGTAAAAAGTTAAATTCATATTGCCATCGTTATACTGAGAAGCGTGTTTCAAAAGGGTTCTTTCAACGGATCCAAGGGTCTCACCACCCGCACTCTTGTCCAAGCCCCGAACGTATTGTTGGGCAGTTTCTTACTTGATTGACTGCCATTATCCTGTAAATGGAGGTGACCAAGACTGAATTCAAAGGAAGAGACGACCTCCAGCTTGCAGGGCACATGGAACGAGTAAGCAAGGATGGCGTAGGAGCGTAGATATGGCTGGCCCTTGCACCTGGCAGCGCGTACGCAAATGTGTCCTCTATGGTATCTTTGAACCGTGTGTATACCCTCAATTGAACATTTAATTAGGAGTCGCCCCTATTCCCCTAGTGCACTTAGACTTTCGTGTTGAGACATATTCATTCTCATTCACATCACCGGGTGGCCTTTATGAGCCGGGGCTTTGTCGTTATCAGTCTGAGTCACGAAGCTAAGTGAACCTTCTGTCCACCAGTTCCTTGAGGGCCAAAGATTGTGAGTGGACAATTACGCCGACTCTACCACCTATTGTTATGTCCCCGCTCATTATAGTATGTGGCCCAACCGTAGCAAAAGAACTAGATGCTTTGTCTGCCACAATGCCTCCTGGCCACTTGCGAGGCCACTCAGGCTGACTGCACCGTATATAAGCAACGGTAAACTGGTAGATTTCTTCCATCAGTTCCACCTCTCTCAATCTTCTACGCATCTACTATGGCACTCTCGGACAACTCAGGATACTGTGAGGCTTGCTCAGTTCACACTAGAACCCTTAGAAGACTCTACGACGGGATTACCTTTACAAGTAAGTACTACGTTATTCACAGGGAGAGTTCATCTCAAGAATCAATGACTTGCCTAGTGATTTGCGAAAAGTACGTGTCATGTTCTCGACTTTACTCTCAGCTCTGACTGTGTATCATAGTTGCTTTAAAGCCAGGGGTTACCGCGTAAAGACTGGTTCTTCCCGCCAAGATCACAGGCCGGTCGTTCTCGCTGATCCCGATCCCCGGTCAGTGCCAACATTTAACATTCCAATTAGCCTTGGCCTGACATTATATCATGCTGTAGATTGAGATATGGATGCTGGCACGCTCACCTTGGGTGCAGTGCTCGCACCAACCATCTGCTGGCGGTTGAGAACCATGCCAAGTCGGTGCGTAGGATATCAGAACCGATCAAAACTGGAAGCTCACGTTCTCTCGCAGTGCAAATTCACATGCGTCGTTACGTGCACCCAGTGCTGGCAGGTAGTCCCTGTGGCTGACTATGAGGACCACAAAGATGGGTCTAAGGGTGTTCTCTATATTTGATTCTGAACCTGTACCGTGACAAGTAGTTCACCTTAGTTCACTTTAACATTCCCCGACTTCTTCATACTGCATTCACGTTAGCTTCTTTCCGTTATACAATAATTCGGTCTCTCCTACGAATTTATCAATGAAACTTAGGTTTTCAGATATTAACGTAATCAGAACGTGTGGACCGTTTGACGCCTCCCCGGACCATGGATAGAGGGGTGTATAACCACCAACATAACGCACATCTGTCGAGAGATATTTCTTGGAGGTTCGGGCGAGGAATAACACGACCAGGGGATAATTATTGTGCTAGTTGATAGCTTCGATCCCCTTCAGAAATCGACACACCGGCGTCAACTAATGTGATTACTTCAGTAGGCATCGTAGATGGCCAACTTGGCGATTTCTTTCCTGATGTATGACCGCGTCGGCCTCATTAAGAGGAACTTTCAGCGCCTCCTAGCTCGTAGTGAGTGATCAAAGGAGGTCCCGTGCAGCTCAGTTCGCGTGGGTGGCACAAGCACTTGACTCGGAGACAACGGCAGTAGTTGATGCAGCTACAGCGAGCCCAAGGACTTGCGAAAGTCAAAGTCGATAGTTTGCATTACCCGTGTCATTCAGTACGGTACGTATTGCCTAGCTTTGGTTCGGAGAGACCTTGTGTATTGCAGCTTCTAGAAAGACCTCGACTTCTTCTGAAAGATTGACACAACCGGAAGTTGAAGCAAAGGCAGGCACTGTACTGGCGTTGACGGAGATAGATAGTCGTAGGTAGCTCCGAGGAGGACCAATGAGAACTGTACCGTCGTGACCTTGTTTAGACGGAGGGATGGAGAAGCAAAGTTCGTCAGAAATTGACTGCGTGCTAAAGCTGTATTTACATGACCGGGGGGAGCAGACGGGAGCTCGAAGTTTCTGGCGAAGCATGAAGTACCCCTGATTTTATCGCAAGGTCGCCGCAAACTAGTCTCTGCCCCGAGCCGGCTGGGAAGGAGGTATATTCGGGTGAAGACAAACATACCCGTGGCTGGGTGGTGGCGATATCGACCAGGGGGCAGTCAGCTATAGGCTCGTCCTTCCAAGTGGTGGCGTCGCCAGATAACGTAGAATACAAGAGTCAGCAGAGCAGTTTGCCTATGCTAGTCCCCCCCACCACGACGTGAGTGCAGCGTGCTCCGTGGTCGCATAGCTTATGAACTTTACAAAAAGCATTAGTCTTTTGGATGCAACAAGATCTTCTCGCTTGAACTTGAAATCTTTAGAAATGCGGCTAACGACGGAAAGTTCATGAACATACCTTGCGTTCTCTGACGACCTTCATGGTGACCTCTGTAGTCACTGTATCATCACAGTGTGAAACAACTGACGAAGAAGCCAGCGCCCCGTCTGCGCAGTGGAAATATTCAGTTATTACTTACTCACTGATCCCCGACTTGATCCCGACCCCCGACGATCTGCAGAAGATTACGGGCCGAACTTATGTGACACTGTTACACGCGCATTAGTCACGCCTACACTTGCGTGTCACACTGTGGCGATCCACCCTTCCATATCCATACCATCTTGCCATGAGCGTGAAGCCTATCGCTCCCGTTGGCGATATATTCGACGACGATGACGAGGGATGGCAGGATATGCCGGTGATTCGTGAGGACAAAGAGGCAAGCGGTCTTGACGAAGAGGACATCAAGAGGTATCATTATGTTACACCGACTGTCAAGGGATCACAGGGCTCGACGAATGCGACGGGTGCCATTTTGGATGTAGACGCTGTGGGGCAAGAGTGGCGTTCCAAACTGGACCAGAACGAAAGCGAATATACCCGCTTACGGGTTAACGAGGAGGAGGATGCGGACGAGGTGCATTTGCGGACGAGGTACCTGTTTGATGAGGACAAAGCTATGACTCCACTTAGCCAGATGCAGGCTACGAAGAATCTACTCACGGAGGCGCAACGCATAGCCTACGTGGGACTCTGCGCGCTCACAAGTCGAGAAATGGCCGAAGTCCTCAAGTCCAGTAACAAGAAGGAGTTGAAGGCTGCGGGTGCTAACATGGAGCTGTGGGCGATGAAGATACTGGGGAGGTTGTACTATCATATGGAACTTGAAACGCAAGGTGAGTGTTGCACTGATACCTCGATTACCTTAGCCTTGACCGTGAAGGTAGAACAGAAGATGATAGAGAATCTCGGGCAGCACGGCGTTCAAGCTATGGATCTCGTTCCTGCGCTGATGACTACGCACACTGTTGCCAACCCAGAGTATGATCCTGCGGAGGCTCGACGCCAAGCAGAAGACACTCGAGATCGTGACTTGATCCAGAACGATGAAATCGACGACACCGAGTCTCTTTCTGGCAGAACTGTCGTGGATATTCCACCAACGCCAACATCTCCCAATGCCACTACTACCTCTCCAAATCCTCAGGGAGGGGAGTCCAAACTCTTTCAAACGACCGCCAAAGTCCTACCTAGCACTGCGACAGCTGCAATTCCAGGCGTATCCACATCACTATCAGCTGCGGACGAGAAAGTCACATTGGATATACGTTGGACCGTCTTGTGCGACCTCTTTCTTGTCCTAATCGCTGATAGCGTATACGATGCACGTTCTCGTGTGCTTCTAGAAAATGTGGCTGCGAAGTTGGGCCTTGGGTGGATCGACGTCGTTAAATTCGAGAGTCGAGTGACGGAGGCGTTGGAGATTCAAGAAGACGTAGAGAAGATGGAGCACAGGGATCTCATCGACGGTCGTCAGAAAGCTGCTAGAAAGAAACGATACATGATGCTTGGCTTGGCTACTCTTGGTGAGTTTTCAATGTCTGGTATTAGGCCGGGATTCATGATATGAACAGGTGGTGGCCTTGTTATCGGCCTCTCTGCCGGCCTTCTCGCACCTGTCATCGGTGCTGGCCTCGGCGCAGCGTTTACTACGATCGGTATCACTGGCACGACCGGCTTTCTGGCTGGTGCTGGTGGAGCGGCGGTAATCACTACTGGTGGGGTGCTCACCGGTTCTGGTATCGCAGCGAAAGGCATGGCAAAACGGACGAAGCAAGTGCAGACGTTCGATGTCCTTCCGCTGCACAATAACAAGCGGGTGAATTGTATTCTCACAGTGCCAGGGTTAGTCCTCAAGTTTCGCCCCTCGTCCAGTGATTTCTAATTACCCCATTACCTTATAGCTTCATGAATGGTATTCAGGACGACGTCCGACTTCCCTTCAGTGTCTTGGATCCCGTGGTCGGGGACGTTTTCAGTGTCCTTTGGGAGCCTGAAATGATACGAGAAACCGGTAGTGCTTTGAAGATCTTGACGGGCGAAGTCCTTACGCAATTAGCGCAGACGGCTCTTCAGGCCACGGTCATGACGGCTCTAATGAGCGCGCTTCAATGGCCTATCAGTATGTTTCTTTCGTATAATATTCGACCCTCGCTGATCAATCCGACCCGTAGTTCTGACGAAGCTTGGTTACCTGATCGATAACCCATGGAACAATGCTCTCGACCGATCGCGAGCAGCTGGTCGTGTGCTGGCCGATGTCCTCATTCAGCGTTGCCTTGGGGTCCGACCAATAACGTTGATCGGTTTCTCCCTCGGGGCTCGTGTAATCTTCTATGCCCTACTCGAATTGGCGAAGCAGAAGGCTTTTGGCATCGTCCAAGATGTTTTCCTACTCGGAGCTACGTTAAGCGTGTCGAACAAGACATGGCTAGAAACTCGCAGCGTTGTATCGGGCAGATATGTGAACGCGTACGCCAGGAATGACTGGGTGCTTAATTATCTATTCAGAGCAACGAGCGGCGGTGTTGGGACTGTAGCTGGCTTGCGCCCCATAGAAGGGGTGCCTGGCCTGGAGAACGTGGACGTCACAGACAAGATTGCTGGCCACATGAGCTACAGGACGTTCATGCCCCTAATCCTTGATCAACTGGGCTTCCCCGTATTTGCTGATTATTTCGACGAGCCAGAGGTCAGTGCGATATTACTTAGACCTGTGTTCTGTATATTGACGACGGTTGGCAGGAACCCGACTTCGAAGGGGAGCGGGTGGTGATTACAGAAGAAGAGCAGAAGAAGAAGAAAGGCTGGTTTTCACGCAAGAAGTCGAAGTCTTCGGTTTCCGATAATGCGACCCGACCTCCAACGCATACTAGGAAGACATCCAGTTCGTCTACGATTACTGGCGACGACGAGCTCCCCCCTCGGGTTGACGAAAAAGGACATGAAGAGTTCTCAACCCGACCATCGTCCCCCAGCCAGCATGCTGACGTATCAAGTCCTCCACAGAAGGTATCTGGGCAACAGCCCGAACTCCCTTTGCATGCTGGCTTCGACTTCGCCGCAATCAAGGAGGTACTGAATGAGATCAAGGACTCATCGACGGAGAAGACGGGCGAAGGCAAAGCTTACGAAATGCCGCCGATCCCACCACCAAGCCAGAGGTCGGAAAGTACGCCACCCACCCAGCGATCTACGCCCGTTAAAGAAAGGGAAGCGTTAGAACCCCCGCTTTCTGCTGGTGGTCCTCGTCGTAGTGATTTACACACATCCTTCACCCGCTCATTGTCCGTGAATGATGCAGAGGAGGATGGGGATGGTGCCATCACCCCCTCCGCTACGTCGAATATCCCCGCACCGTTCCGTGTCACCCCCTCTCAAGAAGAAGACTTTGGTTCTTTTGACAACGATCTCAAGACGGCTCGCCCTGGTGCGCCTCCGACGCTATCCTTTGGAGATGACGATGGTGCTTTCTGGTCCCCTCCACCAACTCGAGGGTCTTCACTCCTTCCTGGCCCTAGTTCCGCTTCATCTATTGCCTCGCGTGGTTATTCTAGTTTTGGAGCCTCTACGACCTCATTTTCCTCATCTACTGCATTCGGACTATCCCCTACATACAACCCTTTTTCTACGATATCTCCGCCCAACAGTGGACTAACATTTGGCGCGAACGATGGTTCTATCACTTCGTTAGGGAGTGTTCTGTCACCTAGTAATGACCCTTGGGCACTTCCTTTCGACAACAAGAGGAAGAACGACATTGGTTCCAACCCTTGGGGTTGATCAATAGGATTACATTCGTTTTTTTCTTCACGGTTTGTACAATACATGTCGGATCCATTGGCATCAGCATCTTTCCCATCACATTTAGCATACTTGTGCACTTGCATACATTTCTTAATTCCCCGATTCACGCATCATATCCTTCGTTGGCATGGCCTATTGGCCCGGGCAGTGTAGATTAAGTTCCAGCCTTAGATGATGTTACATTCCTCGAACAAGGAAGGATTCCGATTGCCAACTATGATACTACAGAGCCCTTTTGGCCGCTTCCTCTCGCTCTTTGAATTTCGCTTGAGACGCTTGTTGTTTCAAGGCAGCATGGATTTTGCGTTGTCTCGACCTCCTTCCGTTGCCACGCTTGGGACCATCTATCGGGATAGGGTCAGTCATCCGCTTTTTGCGCTTTGCAGCCTCCTCCGAGCGCATTTTCTCCCGTTTCTTGTCTCGTTTACGAAGCGTCCCCATCGATGACTTGAGCAGCGTCCCATAGGCCGAGTAGAACTTGTTCAGCTCTCCCGGTTGTACCTAGTTCTAATGAGGATCGTAACACTGAATGGCATTTACGACTCACAGTGGTAGAGAACTTGATGTCGTCTCCGTTCGTGGCTCGGAGTAAACATGGGTACTCCCTCGTATCCAGCGAGCCATCCCCTGCCTTCATCGATGTATCGCCATCCTCGTATGTCACTAAGATGTTCCCTGAGCCTTATCGTAAAATGAGAGAAACATAACCACCCACATCGTTTGTGGGTTAACCAGATCGTCCCCCGTTCCACAGATGAAGCAAATAGTTCATTTAACCTCTGCAAGAACTACAGAGGGAAATCAGGTATCTTTGCAGATGTATGAGGATTTTAACGATCTTACAGTGTCATTATCCACTAACTTCATTCGTCCAAGAGTCCAGTGCGCCGTTGGTGTGTGCGAAACGACTCGGCGAGCGTAGTACTGAAGGCAGGAATCAGTGTGACATTACGTAATGGGGAATTATGTGTCACAGGTAGTATTCGCTGGGTTTGAATGAAGTTTTTATTAACGCCGATGATTGCGAAGGGCCATACTTGTCAACCTGCCACTGTATAACGACGAGCAAAACCATAACTTTACTAGTCCGGCACCGACAATTTTCGAGCTAACAGGGCAGAACGTACCAGAATGAATATGAAACAGCCTCACGAACTCGCGCATCTCTACGACGCCCAGATCGACGCTCATTTCGCCCAGATACGTATCCTGCGGGAACGGCGCAATGCTGACTGTAGTCAGACCAGAAGGCTACCCCAGGAGATATTTTCCAGGATATTCAGCATCCTGCGCACATCCTGCTACCGAAGTCGATATCCGCACCTGGAGTGGAAGGCGGTCACGCATGTCTGCCGCACTTGGCGCAACAGCGCGCTGAACGAGCCTACGTTGTGGACTGATTTCATCAAAGTGCATCCCAACTGGGTCCGAGAAATCTTTGCAAGGTCCAAAGCCGCACCCTTGCGTCTGTGCTATCGAGACTACGGATATCCACCCGATGTCCTCAACTTCATTGTCGAAGCTTTAGTCAGGTCGCCTGAGCGAATCAAAGAGTTGCGGGTCTTCGAATATGGCGAACACTCCTTCATTAGCCGCCTAGTCAAGCCGGCTCCCTTTCTGGAATCTCTCGTTGTCGAGCTCGGCACGCCCGTAGATCTCCCTCTGGACTTCCTTGCTGGGGTCGCACCACGGCTGCGCTCCATCAAATGCACTGGGAACTTGCCGCTAGAAGCGAGCTGGCTTGCCAGCCTAAGAAGTCTGGACTATTCTGGGGTGTTGCATATCAAAGCAAGTTGGTTATCAAAGCTAACGTCTCTACGTCTTGAGCGTGGCGCCACCTGCAGTATGAGCATCGACACTCTACTTTCAGCTCTGGAGAACACGCCCTTACTGCAGTGTTTGCACCTCGTTGCTTCTTCTGGCACCGACGATGCCCCCTGTCATCGTTCGACGCCAGTCCACCTCCGCCACCTAGACGATATTACTTTTGACTTGGGTTGTAAACCGAGTATAGCCAAATTATTCATGCATCTCCGAGTGGACAACATCGAGAAGCTACGCACTTCGTGGCCGTACCAGTTTGGAGATATCTCAATGATAGAGCATGTGTGCCACTTCTTCAATACGTGCTACCGTGGTGATCGTTTGCAATACGTCGCATTCGACTCACAGCTGGGCCTGGAGATGCACAGGTGTATTGACTTGACTGGCCCTACGGTGCATACACCCAGCCTAGTCTTTCAATCCAGTTGGAGCGACCCATCGATCATTGTGAATCTACTTCCACAATGTGTCCCTCGTGTCCTCTCAACAAGTCTTTATCCTGAAGTTAAGTCGCTCGTGCTTACGGGATGTGACACCATTGAAGAGCTCCGCATTTCCTCTGGATACCCGCACTGTTATCATTTTGAATCAAACGATGCCTCCTCCCGGCCCTATCCATCGCTCCAGCGGCTGCGCATTGGAAGAGCAGTCGACGGTTTAGACCGAGAAGAGGCTTCCCAACTAATAAGTTGGCTTTCTCGGCGAAATTCAAAGGTCGAGGTGGTTATCAGAGAGCGTGGCATTTCGAGGGAAGCTGCCGAGTCTCTGCGGGCTGTGGCGCTCCTCCGGTTTGAAGCTGCGGCCGCACTGTTGTAACATCCAAAGGTTTGGGATCGGGTTCCCTTCTCGTCATTGCATGCACTCTTCCGGAACATTGATGTCAGTAGCAATACAGAAAGATCCCATGAAAGCGCTTCTGGACAAGGCCTGACTTTTGAGCAAGTGCAAGCTCCTGTAGAGATGGCTGTATATATGTTTTGGCAATAGACAAACCCAGGTCAGCGGATGAAATGGTGAGAGAACAAGCGTACGACCATAGGGCTCTGTGCTCAGCTTTCTATTCCGGATATCCGCAGATTATTTCTCAGCTATCATATGGTGAAGAAGTCCCTATTTCCCTCGAATTTCTCTGGATACGACAGAATATGGAAGGAGTACTCCACTACGGTCATATTGCGCCGTGATATTTGCCTACTCCGTGCTCTCTGGGTCAGCCGTTTCTTCCGTTTCTTACTAAACTCCATACGCGTGTATCTACGAAATGACGCTTCCTTTGTCTAGATGGTCTACCCCTCCTGGAGTTAGTCATACAGTGTATCGGTCCGTTGGCTTGCAACCTCTCATTCTCTAATGTCTTGATTATTTTAGCTCCCCATTGCGCCGAATCACCGTTTCATTCAGTTAATTGCGGGAACGTCGGGCTGTCTTAGCGAATATCCATGGCCCGATTATCCATCCGACGCTCATCGTGGCTCGCTAGAAGCAAAAGACGGCGACGAGACGCCTTGTTCAATACCATTCGTCCGGGATCTCCAACGCAGTAAACAGAAGTGCGACATACTAGAGACGAAGCTGAACGTATAAATACTAACTCATCTCAGCTTTCCTCCCCCAAGACTTCAACCTCATAAAACGAAACGAAGATGCAATTCTCCCTCAAACTCCTCGCAATCGCGTTCGCTATCTTTCCCTCAGCCCTCGCAGACAGGACTTTTGTTATCAACATCAACAATGACTGTCCCAGCGACGTGCCCCTCTTCATAAACGCTGCATTCGACAGCATCATTCCTCGCGGGGCGGGCGTCACGAAGACATTCCCAGGAAACTTTTCTGGATTGATCTACAGTACGGCCAATGGTGGGCTCGGTACTGGGAGATTGGTAACCAGTGCTGGGTTCCACTTAGAGGTACGTGAAGCAATACCCATCATGCCGAAGCTGTCGCTCATGAGGTACCTATAGGACGATTACTATTACATTCTTAAGGACGAAACCCACTTCAACATGGGAGTAACCGTTTCTCCCCAAGCTGCAGCGGTAAGTTACTAGCATGTTTATCCCGGTTAAGAGTCTAACGCTAACACATATTCTCTAGGCCAACGGCTTTTGCCCCGAGCTGTCCTGTGAAACCGCCGATTGCACTGGGGTTTTCCCGCTTTCACAACAGCCTCTGAGCTTCCCACCCCCAGGAGACTCGCCCCCCGCACCTCCGTTGGCCGAGTGTCCTGGCGCAAATTCTGGGTTCACAGTAACGTACATACGCTAGCTACACTTTCTTACTGGGCGCGAAACTGACGTCGTGCATCATGCAGGTTCTGCCCGACTCAAGCTTTCCCGCCCGACGCTGACATTTAAAGGCGAGGGAGTGATCGGAGAGCGTACGGATGGGAAACAGAAGGATGTCAGTCGTTGTATCGTTGAAAGCATCGTAGTTACAGCAAGGGGGTGAAGTCAGGTAGTTGCTTCGGTGTAATCGAATTCTTGCTGCTTGTATCGAGTGTTCGTGCCTTGACTTTCTCCAACACGTCCCGTACGTCCTCCATGATCTTGACTTTGTCAGTGAGCTATGAAGGTTGTTGGATAAGAGCTTCCGTAACGCGAGCAAAAGGATGGTTACTTGATACTGGCTCACAGCTCCTGAAGAGCTAGGCATTGCATAGAACAACGTCTCGCCAACTGTCGTTTCTGTTGATGACGGCTAGTCAGCACAAGGCTTGAAAGGCAAATTTAACCCTGCCAACCCTGCGTATCCGCGTACACGAGCTTGAAGCTTTGCAATCCAGGCGCCAGCTTGAACCCTTTGTTCGAAGGCATTGAATTGTTGAGCTTTGCAACAGATCAGTCAACCAAAACTAAGATGTATATAGATTTAAGGACCAATACCTTGAGGGCTCCGAGTTCCACTACTTTGGCGATCCCTAAACCTACGAAAGCAACGATGCGGGGCCTGAAGTGTGCTATCTTTGATAATAGCGATAAGACTGACGCCGCTTTTTCGGCCGCTGAGAGTTCGCTTTCCTACAGTGGAGATGGTACGATGAACCCCTAGACGAGGAATTAGGCGACTCACGCCAGATGTCGGCCGCTCCACTAGGTCTGTCTACGAGGATCCCGACGTTAGTCTAACAGAATATCGATCGTATAAAACGACACACAAGACCGATGTTGAAAAGATCAGGCAATGTCATATCCTCGTGAGGGGGGATTCTCTTCGACGTAAATCCTGATTGTATGCCCTCAGAGGAATCTGCAAAGCCGTGTAGATGCAACGAACCTGAAGCAGCCAAGGCCTTCCAAAAATGATTGTTCGGGTTTGCGAAATGGTGCCCAACTTGAGCAGATAGCCTTCCAGGACTATCACGATAAATTCAGAATTCTAGCATTCTGGTATGCCAATGTAACCATAACGCCACGTACTTGATACCGCAAAACACGACTATACGACATCATTTGTCAGACAGTAAGAAGAAATGATCATGCCACGCACCATCAAGCTCGAACTTCAAGCAGTCGGTGAGGTTCGAAAGATGAGCGTACGTTTCCGGTGGAGCGTAGCCTCGTTTGCCCTGTCGTCGTTTCTTCTTGGGCGATGGGGAACTCTTCGAAGGGCCAGCCACGGCCATTTCTTGCTCCACCAACTCCTCCTCTAATGACTCCTGGACTGTAACACTATGCTCCTCCTTCTTGATGATCCGTGATAATCTTCGGGGAGAATATGCGTATGGAGAAGGCCTTGCGGTGGATCCACTGGACTTAGTGCCAGTAGAGGTAGGCAGGTATTCATATTTGGTTTTCAGAGCCAACAGTATTTTAGACTCTTTATCGCCGTTCGCTTCGGGCTCCATCAGCTTTTCGTATCGTCGTAGTACAACACTGAGTACTCTGAAGAATTCAATTTGAACGAAGCCTCGAATAAGCGCGTCTTCTAAGTTCTTGGACACGAGTCGCGTCGCGTGGTAATTTCTAGTAGTAGAGGTCAGGGGCACTCCGTAAATGCCCTCTTCCATGCAACAATGAGGTACCTTCGTACGGTATGCCAAAGAAACAAAGGCTATGGTAATATTCTCCAGAGCTTTGGCATCAACCCTTCAAATTCAGTTCCGAGGGCAGCGGCTCTCCGAACACGCCTGCCAATACGTTCTTCGCTGCAAGCGTCGCCATAGCCAACCGAGTTTCCAGCGTCGCACTCCCAATGTGAGGCAGCACCACACACCGAGGCTCCTTCACCAGACAGTGATCAATCCCTACTTGTGGCTCGCCCTCAACGACGTCAATCCCTGCCCCCCAGATCCATTTCTCTCTAAGAGCCTTAGCAAGCGCATCGCTATCTACCAAGGTCCCCCTGCTGGCATTTACGAGGATCGCGGTCTTCTTCATCTTTCGTAGAACTTCTTCGTTGACAATGTGTCTCGTCTTCGGCCCACCGGGAGCAAGGACAAAGAGGACGTCGCTTTCCGTGGCTAGTTCGGCAATGTCTACGCGTAAGAGGGAATCTAGTTTGTATTCTTTGGCAAGAGCTTGATCGCGTTCAAGAGTCGGAGGGGATGATGGAGAGCCGGTGTATATTACACGTTTTACGCCGAATGGGATAAGTCGAGCAAGCGTAGCTTGCGCGATGCGTCCAAATCCAAGAAACCCGATTGTTCGAGGCTTAGTAGTGCCGTCCGAGCTTAGCTGTGGCCCGCAGAATCCAAACGGAGACCAACTATGCAATGGCCACTGCAGAACAATGAGGCGTACATCAAAGGGTAGAAGTAACCATGCGACGTACGTGGCCGCTTTGCACTAAAGACATCGTCTCGCCTGCATTTCGGCTAGCCATGAGAGCCAGCATAATTGACAGATCGGCCACTTTCAAACGGGTAAGTTACACCCCCAATACCATTAGCTTACTCAAACAAACCTGCGTCGGTGAGAACGTCTGGAGTATAGCCCACTTTAATTCCACGAGCAGCCACAGCGGTGAGATCAATGTGCTCTGAGAGTGGTCTGTCAGCACCAGTCGTCACACCCTGTACAAACATTCCTCACCATATCCTACGGACATAGTGGAGACAACTCGCAAGTTTGGCCCGGCTAATCATTGTCTCGTAGTTTCAATAGTACCGTCCTTGGCGATTAAACACTAACCTGCTTCCAGTAATTCAGGGGTCACCTATGAGACCCATGCATGAGAGGTAGATGAATGAGTATGAATAAGACGCACGGCTTCACCAAAGACGACTATAAGCCCTGTAGCACCGTTGATATTTTCTAGGAGCCATTTCCTTTCGGAAGGCCGATCATGCGGCCACACTACGATCTTCCGGATATGATTAGCGTTTGCGGGCTTCAGAATGCGATGTACTACTCACCTCGAGCTCAGATCTTGAACGGAGCAAAGGCATAACATCAGGACCCAGATCGCGGCAAACGACAATCTTCATCTGAGATTCACTATTCCCCGAGAAATGCGAGGACAGAGAGGCAAGGCGATGTCCGACGGATGTCATATTAGACGAGGAAATTGCGGCAGGGAGGTGAGATATGACCTTGAAATATTGAGCTAGATGGTTCGAGAATTGAGGTATTCTGACGGTGTGCGATAAGCGGGCGAGGTGTCATGCATGTCATGAGGAAAGTCATGAGGAAGTTCAGAGGGAAGGACCGGGCCGGGGGCCTCCAAATGTCAATTAACCAGGCGCTTGGACATAGGGGCGGGCGCTTGCATCTTCTCTCGGGCACACGGGCTTTTTTCGATGTCAACAAGCGGAAAAGAACGTACATACATCTCTGCATATTTATTGAAGATCTGTCATTCTAGTGGTCAGTTCGTGTGATTGATACTGTAAGCCGCACCTCAGTCATACATGAGTGTAGATATCATGATGAACTGAGGGATATCTCCTTTCTTTAGCTTTAACAACGACTGCCTTTCGCATGCTCGCTCTCCATATTAATTATCCACTGTGTGACCTCAATCGCATGCTAAGCCTATAAGCCAACATTCTGAGTAACCGGATCGACCACAGAGCGTACCTTGATCAGGTTCTTCGCCTTCTCCCGACGCGCCTTAAGGAATATCTTCGCAGAGGCACGGTCACTTTCCATTTCTTGACGGTACATTGTGGCGGCATACAGAAGCATTGGCTTGAAGTACTGGTGATTTCGGCCGTTGTCCGTGGGGTTCCAAGCGGCGAACGCGCTCTGCGGTCCGCGTTGCTTGACCGTGGTCCTTCGTTCATCACTCCATATGACTCGTGGAACCATGAAATATGTAGAGTCACATTCGGGGAACCTTTTGAAGGTCTTCAAAATTTTATTCCCTGGCGCAACGCTATAGGATTCATTCACTCGTCAGTGATTAAAGGGGAATAAACTGGGTTGATCCATACAGAGTATCCTGACAACCACCACACAGTCTGAGGCCGAGCTCGTGGAGCGGGTCGCGGTCAGTGTAAATTCCGCAGTACTGTTCGCCAGAGAGATTGTCATGATATGAGGCCTATCAACTATTTCGTGACTCACCGAACACCTTTCCTCGAAGATGATTGAGGCAAGGTTTGGCAAGCTCAGCGTCGGCGTGCGATAATGGAATCCCATGTGGGCAAAGGACTCTCGCCAAACGTGTTCTGCCGAGCGGGAGAGGATAACACCGTGAGTGCCATGGGACACCCTTGAGAAGTGTAATAAATCTGCTGGATGCAGTCGGGATAATATCTACAACGTAGACAAGTGAGCAAACGGAGGCCCATCTTTGCAATCCGAAAGATAACTTACGTCGTAGATGATTTCTACTGGAAGAGCTCTTAAAGCGGATTCAGGAGCCATTCTACGACTGGTGGTGGAGGAGGTTGTGCTTTGGATGAGAAACATCGGGTAAATGAGTAGATTGGGAGTACTGTCATTTGTGGCGGTGTATGTAACCGGGTTACCGTCGAGTCATAGAATAAACACGACATTGGGCAGCCACAGCTTTACGAAGATTCAGTTAATTATCAATCCCAATGTTGCCGAGCGGTGGCAGCAGTGACTCGCAGAGTGTTGACGATTTACTCTCAGGTACCGTATCATGAGCCTGTGCTGTGACTGAGTATCTTAATCCAACTTCGCGTGGATTGATTGGCCTCGTGTGTTAGTGTCTGCGCCGTGACACCTGGATCCAGTGGGAGATGGATGTCCAAACTGAGCACAAGCCTGAGTCTAAGCTTCTATGTTACGCTTGGCGTTAGCGTTCTTCAAGATACGATGTACCACTCATCTATAGCTCGAGCTTGAATGAAGTAAGGCATAAAAACTAGGTCCAGATGTCAACCTTCCTCTTGGAGTTTCTCGGTGAGGACCATGAAGTTTGGAGCGGACCAGGGCGCCCTCAAATAGGAGTTGGCGCTTACAGAGACTCTCACTTGAAGTTCATTCAAATTTCAAAAGGCTCACATTAGCTCGCCGAGTCGCAGCCCTTCCTCGTGAATTGTGGGCGGGTCTCTTCCATCACTCGACGACTAAAGCCTCGGGAGTGACTTCGTGGGGGATAATACAGTTGAGAAACCCGGTTTCTGGGGTTTCTCCGCGTAACTTTGGAAACCCCTAGCAACAATGCAAAGTGGAGCGGGTTGCGTCGGCCGGGAGTCCGCCCGGAACATGCCTTATATATCTTAGCTCCCAACTCCGAACCTCGCCTTTTGTGTAAGTATGGCATGCCACGAAGCGCCCGGTGACTTGAAGCAGGCTCAGTTCAAAAATTAGAACATGCCGGAAGGGCCCTTCATGATGTTCAAGCAGGGCTACCACAAAGTACGAACCCCCAAGACTTGAATATACTGTCAGACTAATTGAGTGATACAAATAAGTTACGCAGGCCCCTCTCCACATCACTAGATCGTGATCATTTGACGCAACTCACCTCTTTCCGTGTTCAAGCGCACCAGGACAAGAGGAATGGTGTCGCTTGTCACTCCAACGAACAAGTTCATGAAATGGCGTGGGTTAGCGCAATTATTCTGCTTTTCGACTCCACACGACGCCAACGGGCTCAATAACCTCAGGCTCGCGCAATACCGCACAACTGCATGAATGAAAGGATGCTCGATAGGGTAAAGCTGCTAGACACGTCGGAGAGCTATATAAACCTGCCCCACCGCTCCTTGCTTCCTCAGCAAACTTTCAGCCACTCACCAGTAGTAAGCACTCTTCTTCTTCCTCTCTTCCTATCTTCTAATTCGAGTTTTTTGTCTACAGGCTTTATCGTCAGCCACCAGTCACAATGCGCATCGCACTCTTCGTCCTCGCTTTCGCCGCTGTGTTCGTCCTCGCCAGCCCCAACGCTGACAAGAAGAAGAAGGTCAAGAAGCCCACCGCCGCTCCCGCCGACGCTGCTCCTCCCGCCGACGCACCACCCGCTGACGATGCTGCTGCTGCCTAAAAGGAGATAACCACACTTACATCCTGGTGCGCTCGCTCTGACAGCGGCCCTCGCGTTCCCCAGCCCTCAACAGAGACTCGACTCGTCCAAACTCTGGACACTTTGCACTCGAATGACGTCGATAATCCCGTAGTATAGTTAACGAACTATTTGTCGCGCGCACTGCTCCCAATAGACCGTGACTTGCTGCCTTTTCCAAATCTTATCGTCACGCGTTCAAATTGAAACAAGACACAGACCGCTGCGATGTAATAATCTTTCCGCTCCTGGCCTCACCTGTCAAAGGCTTCGATGTCGGTTAACCTTACAAATCATACGAAGAGCCCAGCGTGATATTACGCCTTGAACACACACTGGTTGGGAAAGAATTTAGAACAGTAGCGACAAACACGAATACCGAACAAGAAGACGACATCTCTTCTTGAAAAATGAGATCGTGGAGTATCCAACTTCATTCCGATCTTCCATCCATCAGGTATCTATGTATGGGTGAGCAACAAGCGAGGCCAAGAGAAACCCAAATACAAAACACGGTACAGTTTGCAGACACTAAATGTCAACGAGTTCGCTGCTCAATAATACAACAACCTTGCCGCCAAGGTCGGGTGTCACTGATTAGCTGCACCTCGTCGACAATAGGCCATCGTCTTGATTTGGATTGGCGGCGTCGGCGAGCCACGAGGATTGCAAGGCCCGGAGAAGAAACGACGGGAGCGGTGAGAGAGAATGCGGACGGAGGAAGTGAGAGGGATGAGAGATGAACCGACCTCACCAGGCCCTCAAACTGGCGACCTCGTCCCCGATGCTGCTTCCCATCTTGTTTATGACAGACCCGGCTCATGTCTCGACGCTGGAGCAGACTCTCCCCCAGTTCCAAACTCCAGCTAGTTCCGACTTTTACCGTTTACAGCTATCAAGGTGAGACTGGCTTGAAACAGCCCGATGGTCTGCTCACTCAAGCCGTACTTCACCACCGTAGTATCGAAACAACTATGGTCTGGATATCCAATCGATCCTCCCATCAAGGTCACTATCACCAACACCACTGGCGGTGAAGGCGCCACCTTCGACATTGTCCCCGAGCCTTTGCTCGTCGAAACTTGGAGGCAAAACCACTGGGGCCGCAATGGGGCTGAGAATGCTACTGTCTTCTTCGAGAAAAGCGATGTCAAGTTCCAGACTGCTTTGAGTCCGCTAGATGTTCTCCTCGCCTCCAACGACACCCACATCGTGCAGACTTCTACTAAGGTTGGCCGAATCTTGTGGCAGCGAATGGCGAATTAACTAAACTTACAGCAACAAGGGATCTCCTGGACGCCATGTAGAGACGCAGTGGTTGTGAGTCGGAAAGGTACCTGTCGGCGAGTTGTCGTTGTTCGTGTCTGCAAATACACTGCTACGCTGTGTGCTGTTCAGCCGCCTCAAGAATGGATTGTGATCAGAGACAGTGTGCAAGTCCTTGATAGTGAGACACACCACCTGTAGCTGTCCTGCTTATATATAATATACTCTACCTACAGGGCATGTGTGATGCATCAACGACTACACTTACAGTAGGTTCTTTGTAGCGTACCATTACAGTGCCTGTTATACATCACTGGTTCTTATTCCCACAGTTGAGGGGGAGTGTCCGCCCATCGTCGTGAACGATGATGGGACTACGCTTCGCGTCGCTTTCCCTATTGGATTTTGACATCGGGGGCTTAATCTCGCCCTGTTCTTTCTAATCTGGCTTCCCCCTTCTTTGTCGCGTGGACCCAAAAAAGTAGTAGAGATTACTATCTATGGACGGCTACAACATTCTACTAGCGGCGCCCCGACCGAAACAGCACCCTCCCCCGTTGCCATTAGCGCAGGGACATCCTTCCATGCTGACCTGCACTGCATCATTAGTGTCTGCCGTGTGTGCTCCTGGCGCCACGCGTACGCGCGGGGACCCTCCTCAGTGGCTGCCAATGCGCGTTCCTCCCATTTCTTCGCTTGCCACTCGTGAAACTGGATAACACGTCGCATCTCCTCTGACAGGAGGATACACTCCTCTTGCCATCGTTGGGCTCTCGCGCGGCTCTTGCACCATTCAATTCTGAGAGCTACTCAATATTAGCGCCGAAAGTAAAGTCATTGTTAAATTAAAACCTTCTTTTACCTTCGTTCATACCTTCCGTCAGTTCTGCTTCGTTTGTTCGCTCGGTTGCCCATATCCACGAGAGAGTTCGGCGCCCTTCAGATTGACTCGCATCTTCTCCGTCCCTTAAGCCACGAACATCGGCGTCTAACAGTGGTCGCAACACTTGCTCCCACCCTGATTTCCCGAGAACCGTGCCCAATGCGTGAAGGGCAACTCTACATGTTCGATATTTGCTTGCGGCCGCATTCACACGTGTTTGCACGTTCTTCACCAGCATGACACTCCGAGTGTTGTGAAATTGGCCGCGTGAGTACCGATCCTTCGATTGATACATCGAACTTAGGACAAGGAGGTTACGGCGGAGATCCCCGAGTGAATCGAACGCCTGCCCATAGCGTAGTCGCCACTCGTAGTCAGCTATTGAACGGACAGGTAACCGGTCAGCAACCTCTGAGGGAAGATACAGCTTGAGGGACTCTGCATCGGTGTGAATATCGGCCTCGGCTTCACTGGCCCGCAAAGATGTGACTCCCGGCATGTATAGATCCTGTACGCCACGCCATGCCAAGATCCGACGGCGAAGTCGATTTCGTCGTTCGATTATTTGAGTTCGCTGGTGATCGGTTGCATGGTTAGACAGTGCGTTCGAATCTGTTTGCAGACGAACTTGCTGATCTTGAAGATCGAGACCTTGCGCAATAAAGACACTGGGGCTAACACCATCATGAATCCCGCCGACTGCTTCTCTTTCTGCAGCCGCCGCGTCCTCTTCTGCGAGCTCTAAACGTATCCTTGCCTGAGATATTGTTTGGAGTGCCGGCTCGTACGGGTTCGTCATTTTGGCATCTGCCTCCCAGGCCCAAACTAACTGTGAGAAACCAGCGACAGTCTCCTTGGGCAAGCCTTCACTGAAGGCTTGGAACGCCTTGACATGCTCCGATCGCATCTGTAACGCTTCTTGCGCTTTGCGGAGAAGAGATTCATCTAAAAACCTTCAGTGACAGTTAGTGAACCACGCGGAAGTCAACACGTACGAAGAATGATGACCTTGCGCCAATTATAATCACCGAAGTGGTCGTCCAGGGTGTCGCGACGGGAGCCAGGCCCCATTTCTTTGGTGCTACTAGCCACTGGGTTCATTGCCGCCCAGCCGCGCTCTGGAGATTCACCGTCGGTGCGTCCAACGTTTGGTGTGAGATTGAAGGAATAGTTAATTTGACACTCATTGCGATGAGCGTAAAGATGGAACTTCGGAACGAGGTATTTGATTGACAGCTGAGTAAACCGCGGACCAACAAGCTCTTTCGGGTATGACGCCGCACGAGCTTGAAGGTTCCGTGCCCACTGGCACGCAATATCATACGAGGTAACGACTACGTTAGGGGAGTGATTTCGGAGGCTGGAAAAATAAAGGTAGTCCATGTTGCAGTAGCTAGGATTGTTATTAGCGAGTGAGGAAACATAGGGCAACGAATAACCTACCGTTCCCCTAGTTGCAAGTCCCCAACTGAGAGCGGTCGCTTCATGTCGTGCCGACTGCATTCTATAGTCCCCACCCCACTGGCAGTCATACCTTTCCCACCCCGGACGCTAGCAAGCTTGACCGCATCGTAGTTGTTACACGTACTTGGCTCTTCGGGCGGGAAATTGCCAGAAGCGTCCAAAAACGCCTTGTACTTCTTCTCGTCGACAAAATAGGCATATCCTCGGTTTAAGCCTGGATCTCGGATGTCATTTGATGCCGCCAGACGTTTGAGGCGGAAGTTGGCATCAATTGCCACGAACAAAGAATAAATCCACCTGAATTCAAGTAAGTCACGATTGTGTATCCAGGCTACTTTACTCACTGTTTTCTAGGCTCTACTTGCCAGTCTGACGGTAGATTTTTCCCCGGATGGGGACACGCAGGGCAAAGTACGGCGCATTCCCCTTCTTTTGTGCCTGAAACCCCCGTTGGATCATGACCACGTCCCGAACGTTTCAGAAGGCGAATATGGCGCCACTCGCGAACGATTCGCATAAAGGCTGTATAGCGCTCCTGTGGGCCTAGGTTAGCTGTCAATTTTTATGGTGATGAGTTAGCTGATTTACCGGCACAGATTCTCTTAGATTACTGCTTAACCGGACTAGAGATTGGTAGAACTCATACCCAGAGACCTTCGAGCCGAAAGTCAGAAGTTGGAATAACCGCAGGACCTCGAACGTAGCAGCGGTTCGTGGTTCGACGGTTGTCGCTGGAAATAGCCGAGCGCGCAGAAGCTGGGCGCTCTTTGACACGCCTTGAGTACAATTGCAGAAATCGAGATTGATGGTGAAGATCCCATGAAGTGAGATGACAACGAAAGCTTCGTTGAAAGCTGTATCCGCAAGAGGGCAGGGGTCCCCCTGAAGATGGTTGAGCTGCACCCGAAGGCCAAGAGCCCGGAGTGTTTGGCGCTCAAAGAACCTCCCGTTCCACCTCTAATCTAACGTCAGTATTGCGGCGTTATCTTCGATAGTCAACTTACTTCAACGATATGAAACGGATTCGTTCGATGGCGTTCAATCAAGCAATTTTGACAAGATAGCCGAGTGTTGAAGCACTGGGGGCACCGAAACGTTCCTTCGGCTTCCCGACACTCATGGCATATTATGGGAGATGTTCCGATGTCGCCGCGTCCTTCCAATCGAAGGAATTCCTCCACAAATGAGTCGATTTCGGATACCCATACAAGAAGTGGGTTGTCCTGTTGTATCAATAGTAAGCCCTTAGTGAGACACGAAAAGATGTTTGGTACGTACTCCAATAGTGCGCCTTCGACTGATTAACCGTACAATACTGCCGTCCTCTGCAGGTTCATCTGGTTCGATCATGTGGAGGCCTGAGTCATCGATGCCACTGTCGTCTACATTGACTTGACTGGGTGACGTGTGAGGGACTTCAAGTTGAGGAGTGTGATATGACCGGGTGGCCGATAGCCCAGACGCGGTGATAACGAAATCAGTATGTCGATGTGTGGGAGCAGAGGGGCTGGGACGCGTATTCCGTTCTGAATCTAATAAGGAGTCAACGTCAATAAGAGCTCGCTTTGGCCGGCGCATCGTTGATTGAGACACTTACCTCGCTGGAATGTGCTCTTATATACACTGACCTGGTGCTTCTGTAGCCGCACCATTGATTACATCGGGCTTGAGATTGAGGTTGAGAGTGTGTGCTGTGGCGACCTAACGGAAACGGAAGAAGGCTCAGTACTTTCTCACAGTCACAAAGATGATTTAGATTGACTCATGTTATCTTTCTCACACTTACAAGAATGAGCGCTGGGTCACAAAATATATTTCTCACAGTTACAAAATGAGCGCCGGGGTAACAAAATAGACTAAGCAGGAGTTTCGCAAAGGGGTTCATCCGCCCGTGCGACGTCTTCAAATGCCACAACGTACTGATGCGCGGTGGGGGCAGCCCCGTTGCCGATCTCCTTCCACTCATGACGCTAGGTAATGACTCAGTTCCGCTGATAAGCGTAAGAAATAAGGGAGCAATGCACTTACACGACGTGCACGATCAGCCTCAATTGTGATCTCGTCCTTCCAATTTCCGGTGAATTTGGGTAAAGAGAAGGCTCCACCGTGGAGGAGGGTGTCGAGCAGGATTAGGCTCATTGCCCATGCCTACGAGAATACCCAAAATGGGACAAAGGCTCAGAAATAAGTGAGACGACGTACTTTTTTCCACCTAGGAGTAGCCGTAGGGAAGCGGTCTTCAAATAAGGGGAACGCCGCTATGAAGAATTCCTTGTACTCGTGTTCATCGAATGCTTTGTTGAAATAAGGCAGGACCCCCGAAGCGAAAATGTGGATTGGGTCCTCCAAAGGGTCGGGGTTCAGTCGAAGTACTCCAGTGCCAAGATGGATTTCATAAAGATTAGCCATTTGGGGACTTAGAATGAGAGCCATGAATGCCGGAAAACAGGGAAGAACAATGTTTACTCACCGAGCCGAGGTCAGAGTGTTTACTTGCCGAACCGAGGCCAGGTTGTGGTTGGGGAAAAGATCAGGCGAGGTGGAGTGTCCATATATGGCACTTGAACACTGGTCACATGCATATGATAGCTTAGGAGGTTCGAACACAATAAATCTGCAGCATCCAATAGACTGCATATCCCAATAATATTTC